AAGAATACTAATAAGAGAAGTTTTTACTTTATTAAAGTTCTTTAAACCTAATTTATTTAATAGAACTAAATAGGATATTTAAAGCTTTTTAATTTAAATAGAAGTCTATTTATATATAAATATTTTTATTAACTCTATAGTATAAATACTCTATATTAAAACCCTATTTATAAGAAAAATAATAAAGTAGTAGAAGCTAACTTTTAAGGATTATTTAATAATAAAGAACCTAAGGATAAAACTATATAATTCTTTAAATAGTATAAACACTTTAAAGAATTACTTTAAACTACCTTTAAGGACGTAAATATAATATATACTATTATATATAAGTTTAAAGCCTTTAAGTAGACTAGATTTATATAATACTTTAAAAAGGAATTTAAATATATTTTAAACTACTTTATATAGAATATTAATAGTATAATAAAGTTAGTCTATAATACTCTATAAGAAAATATATAGAATAAGATTATAAAGAATAATTAATTTAGTACTTTTAATATATTTACTAATAAAATTATTAAAGTTAATAACTAACTCTATATTAAGTAACTTAAATATAAAGAATAAAGAATTAAAAATAGAATAAGCTATTATTATATTATTAACTAAATAGTAGTTAGTATATTAAAGGATCTATAGACTATAGAGTTTATTTAGACTTTATAGAACTTAATATAGTATATTAAAACTCTTTAAAGAAGAAGACTAAAACTTACTATAACTAGAGGAAGTTAGACTACTTTATAAATAAGTATAAAGTATTTAAAAAGTAATAGAAACTAATTAAAAAAACTATAAATTAAATCTAATAAACTATAATAACCTACTAACTTATAATATTAGTATAATTAATAATAAAGAATATTTTTAAATACTAATAATTAAGAGGAATATAGTATACACTCTATTTAAAATTAGGACTTTAGAATCTAACTACTATTAAATAAAGAAAAGGAACTCTATAATATAGAAGACTTAGTAGAATATCTTATAATACTCTTTATTAAAATAAACTTTAAAGAAATAGAATATATTAAGTTAAAGGACTATTTTATACTCTAGAAGAATAAATAAAAAGAATTTACTTTTATTAAAGACTATAAAGTTATTAAATTAAATATAGTATAAATAGTAATCTATATAGATTAAGACTAGTCTAATAATATTCTAGAAAGTTTTAACTACTTTAAAATAATTATAATATACTTATTATACTATTAAATCTTATAGGTACTATTATATAAATAGTAACTATTTATTATAAATACACTAAAGTACTATAGATAAAGGGTAGGGCGGCCTAAAGAAGTAACTATAGGGCGCTTATAAGGGTGTAAGAATAAAGGAACTAGTTATATAACTAAATCACTAGGGATTATAATAATCTAGTATTAATCTAGGATCACTAGGATTATAGAGTAAGCTAAGTGATTTAAATAATATAGTAGAGGATAGGATGGATATATAAGGAGGAGGATTCTAGTAAATAACTAGACTAGATCTCTATTAATTAATCTAAGTAATAGTTCTACTATTAAGAGTAATCTCCTAATATAACTTATATAATAATATCTACTTATATATACTCTATATATATTTATTTAACTCTCTACTTAAGAAATAAATATACTATAGACTAGGATTAAGCTACTATTATATTATCCCCTAAATATTATATTATAATAAGTTTAAATAAATATACTTTATATAATAATAAGAGTCTAAAGGAGAAACTTAATACTTTATAATATTCTAACTTTTATAAAAAGGATAAAAGAGTATTATTAAGAAAAGAGGATTTATAAGAATAACTATAAGAGAATTATTATAATAAAGGATTAATACTTAAAAGGCTTTTATCTTCTACTTAGAAATATAATTAGTAAGTACAAAAGTATATAATAATATAAAAGAAAAGAAACTACTTACTACTTAAGTAGTCTATATTAATAGCCTTATAGATAAGACTACTAAAAAAGGACTATTATATTATAAATATATAGAATATATAAATAGGGCTAAGTAAGTTAAATTAAATTAAATATACTAGTATTTAGAATAGAATATAAGACTATATAATTTATAAAGTAATTAATAGCTTACTTATTAATTTCTATAACTAAAGTAATTAATAAATAAATAGATAATTTAACTATCTAAGTAATATAGTAGAGGATAGAATAAGTATCTAAAGAAGGGGATTTTAGTAGATAGTTAGACTAAATCTCTACTAATTAATCTAAGTAATAGCTCTATTATTAGGAGGTATCTTTTAATATAACTTATACTATAATAACTACTTATTTCTACTCTATACACTTAAACTAATTCTTTTCTTAAAAAATAGGTTAACTATAGATTAAGATTAAACTATTATTATAATAAACTACTTATAAAAGTATAAAAATAATAGACTTTATTATATAATTAAATTATTAAAAATATAATAATCTAATACTAATATAAAATTATTAAAATTATAAAGTAATTAAAATAATTAAAATAATATAATAAAGAATAATATAAAGATAAATAGAAAGAGACTTTTAGTAAAGAGTTATTTTAAATCTCTATTAATTAATCTAAATAATAGTTCTACTATTAGGAGATATTTCTTAATATAATATATACTATAATAACTACTTATTAGTATTTTATATATTTAAACTAAGTCTTTTTTTAAGAAATAGACTAACTATAGATTAGTATTAAACTACTATTATACTATAGGGCTAGTCTTTAATACTTAGTAGTATAATTTAAACTTAGATTTTAAACTAAAACTAAACTAATAATATTAATAATAGATAGATACTATTAAAAGTAAAAAGGTTAGTATATTCTAAATAGAGTATTAAGAGGCTTCTAATTAGAACTAAAATATAATAAATATATAAAAAAACTATTCTAGATAGTTATTATAAGTCCTATAGAATATATTAGTAGGACTAAGTAAGTTAGACTAGAGTTCAATATACTAGTACTTAGAATAGATTATAAGGTAGTATATACTAGAAATATATAGAATATATAGGTAGGGCTAAGTAACTTGAACTAATAGTAGAGATATTAGTATTTAGAATAGAAGATAAGGTTATATAACCCTATAAAGTAATTAATAGATTACCTATTAATTACTATAATTAAAAGATTAATAGATAGATAAAGAATTAAACTATCTAAGTAGTATTATAGATAATAGAATAAATATATAAAAAAGGGGATTTCTATTAGATAGTTAAACTAAATCTCTACTAATTAAGCTAAGTAATAGTTCTACTATTAAGAGATATTTCCTAATATAACTTATGATATAATAACTACTTATTAGTACTCTATATAATTAAATTAACTCTCTTCCTAAGAGATAAACTAATAGATTAGAGTTAAACTACTATTCTAATAGATTACTAGATAACTATAGAGAAGCTTAGAATATATAAAAGAGTATAATATAATATAAACTAAATCCCTAGTCTATAGTTAGTCTAGTTTTTAAAAAGAGAGTTAGTTTAAATATATAGAGTACTAATAAGTAGTTATTATAGTATAGTATTAAGAACTAGCCCTATAGCTACTATAAGTAAGTATTAATATATAGTTAAATTAAATCTCTTATAGAGAGGAGAGACTAAAGAGGGTACTATAAAGTAACTACTATATATAGTGGAAGCTCTTCCTATTAAGTCTATACTTTAGAATATTAGACTATTCCTCTAATTAGACTATAGTTAAAGCTCTTATATATAGTAATATTAGAAGATATCTCTTAATAGTAGAGTTATTACTTAGATTAATTAGTAGAGATCTAGTCTAACTATTTACTAGAAATCCTTTTCTTTATATATTTATTCTCTTCTTTACTATAATACTTAGATTACTATAGTTTACTATAGTTTACTTATAAGTCTAGTAATCTTAGATTAGTACTAGATTCTATAATCTCTAATAATCTAACTATATACTAAGTTTCTTTATTCTTATACTATTATTTATACTTTATAGTTATTTATTAGACTACTCTACCCTTTATCTATAGTACTTTAGTATATTTATAATATATAATTTACTCTATAATACTTAGAAGGAAGATATATAAGGTTATATAACTAGATTAAAATAGATTACATTAATTAAAGTAGACTTATTATATAAACTTAGTCTAATCTAAACTAAAGGATTAAATAGGATTAATATAATCTAGAAAGATAGTAGAGAAATAGATATATAAAGAAAGGAATTTCCTACAGATAGTTAGACTAGATCTCTACTAATTAAGGTAAGTACTTATTCTACTATTAAAAGTAATCTTTTAATCTAACTTATCCTATAATAACTACTTATATAGACTTAGTATATATTTAACTTTACTTACTTCCTAAAGGATAGATAAATATACTATAGATTAAAAATAAACTATTATTATATAAAGGTCCTTTAAAGAGTATTTTTAATATTAATATTATAACTAAGAAATTAAGTATAGTTAGTAGTATAAGTGTTAGTAAATTTTACCTTATTTCTAGGAATATTCTTTATATATTATTATTAAGGAATTATACTACTAACTAGATTAGAGCTTTATCGTTAAAGAGACTTATAAGAACTCTTTAAAAAAAACATAAAAGTTACTTTATTTTTCTACCTTCGTCTATAAGGACTAAGGCTACTTAAGCGATTAGAAACTAGCTAGATCTTCTGAGGTTAACCTTTACAACCTTGTTTAGAGGGCGGGGGGGCGTAAAACCCTAACACAGTAGTACCAGTAGTCTAACTCTCCTCTAAATACTGTAGATTAGGTAGGGAAAGCTAACTCATCTTAGTAGTAGGCTGCGCCGGCAAAAGCGTTACGTTAGAGCCGGAAACCCCTGAGTATTTATGCAACTATAATGCCTTCCGCGCTATTAGCGAGCCTATTCGTATAATGTCTCCAGATAGTAGCCACATGAACGCGGAAAAGAAGTTGCCCTAGGTGGTTTTTTTCCCCTTGCTGATCAAATATCTTCGTTATAGCCAGGCGGGCAAAGCGCTGGATCATCGGCCAACAAGTGCTTTGGATCTCTAAAGTCGACCCATCCAAGGGGCCCCATTCTAAACCCAGCAATGTTCTGAATCTCTCTGCTATATTTCTTGAAGTCGTCGAGCGAGTTGGCCAAAAAGTGGTTTTCTTCCTAAGCAGGCGAGCATGCGTTAAGTCTTTATCCAATGTAAATGAGATAGCTAGGAATAAGTTGTACTACGTACCGTGCGATTGATTCCCTTTGTCATGAAAGCCGCAAATACCAGGCGATATTCGTCAGCGGTCGTGTTGGCACTGCCGCCGTGAAAGCAGCTCCCCAGCATGATGAGGCCATCCCCGGCGTGTAACTCGACGTGGAAGGCGTCCTTTTCCTGCGGCATGGCGTCCATTCCCCACAGATGCGATTTTGGGATCAGTCTCGTCGCGCCGTTTGCCTCGGTCGTGTCGGTGCCCGCAATAAACATGGCTACAATATCGTCGCGGCCGACATTGTACGCCTCGGCCGACGCAATCTCGGATAGAATGTTGTGGTGCAGCGAGTCGTCGCGGTGTAGCGGCTGGTCCCCCGCGCCGGGCCCGACGGAGAAGCACGTCGTGGCGTCCAGAATGGGCCTTAACGTCTTGGTTTGTCGTTCCGCGCCCCAGACCATTTCGTGCGACTTTGTAAGGAGCGCGTCGCAGACGGACTGGTAGAGGTGGTTGCCGATGATCTGGTTGGTAAAGGCGGGTGATTTGCCAATGAGGCCGTTGGCGCGGCGAGTTTCCTTGGGAAAGACGTTGGACTTGGCAAAGGGCACGTCCCGCGCAAAGGCTGGGGCGACATCTTGTTTGATTTGATCCAAAATGTCGGGCGGAAGCACCTTTTTAACAATGACGGCGCCGTCGTGCTTCAAGGCTTCGATGCACGCGGCGGCGGTGGCAGTGGCATAGTCGACCTGCTGAAATGGTGATGTGTGGGTGTTCTGGAGAGACATTTCGACTCGTCGTTTACTGATGTACTGAGAGAATAATCGTCATAATTCTTTGTGATTTTTCTTTCGAGTCCTCTCTGCTACCGTCCTCTTTATAGAGGCGGCGCTCGGAGTAACGGGCCTAATCTGGAAGTATGGTGCTACTCATCGTACATATACATCGTGGGTATTCTTCATCGGAGAGCGCTTAAATTACGATTTGCTCCCCTTGTAAAAAAGCGAGTCATGGCTATAGTAAATCTTTACCCCAGCCGATCGGCAGCCTCGGAGTCATTTGCAGTTTCTGATGCGCCACACTAACCGTACTCTGACGAACAGGCTTCGAGGGGGCAGTGCGGCGGGGAATGCCACACTGCCCAAATTTGGGCTTCATGGTTGCGACCACCAATATTTCATATTTAAAGGTGTCAGTTGCCAAATTTGGGAAACGACGCCGAGCAACTTCATCAATCATCTGTATTCCGCCCAAGCGCGTCCAATCAACAACACCACCAGCAGTCTACCTCTCCCCGTCAGGAGCCTGCCTTGGATTGAACTTCCAGTCGCATTGAAAGCAAAAACAAAAACACAGAAGATGCTCAAGCGGTCCAAAACTTTTACAGGCTGCTGGACCTGTCGATCGCGACACGTCAAGTGCGACGAAAACAAGCCCTCATGCCACAGATGCCGCACCGCGGGCATCACTTGTGAGGGATACAGCCATCGCTTCATCTGGATCGCCGAGAACGGCATCGAGGACCCGGACAATGCCGGTAGCACGACTTCCCATCGAAAGACGAAGCGACGGACCGGCTTGACCGTGTACCCGACAAGTCATCAGCTAAGACTGCCAAGTGCCACAATCGCTGTGTGGCTGAGCGAGCTTGAAGGAGTGGTACCCAGTCACCGTTGCTCACGGGTCCGAGGGCCCTTTTGCGTCTTTTCAACTGCCGACCACTATGCTCTCGAGACTGTCCATGAGCAGCGGCACGACGGACTTGTCAATAAACATTATGGAGCTCCTACGTTTGCGCTTGCTACACATCCCATGCCGCGTCGGTACAGGGCGCTCATGCACCATTGGGCCACGAGCCTCAGCGGCGATATAGTAGCAGCTGATGGCAGCGACAACATGCCTCGAACGGTCTGGACCCCCATTGCCCTCACTGCTCTGCAGTGTAACGCCCCAGTTTCTGCAGATTACGACGCTTGTGCGTGCCTACTACATAGCATCTGCGCAACCGCCGCCCACCACCTAGGTATCCTCCATCAAAATGACCAACGAGGGCCATATGCCACACTTGCTTTGCAGCATAACCAGTTGGCGCTACGTCATCTCCGTCGATATCTTTCAAAAAGAGCCAATGTTGCACCAGTCTCCTTGACTCTCATGGCCATACTCGGCTGCCTGGTCGCGGATACAATATCTGGCCGAGTGCGGGGATGGAGGAGCCATCTCTGGGCGGGCTTGCAGATCCTACAAAGCGCCGCTCCTTCTTCCTTTTCGTCTTGCTCTCATCTACCGAGGCTCTTGCTAGTATTTTTATCCATCGTTGCTGTGTGCGGGTGGGCGCTGCCATCAGAGATGCAGACAACTCTGCTAAGCCGCGTTCCGCCAAACGAGTCGTATCTCAAAGAGCGTCATGGCATATCACACGAAACTCTGCGACTGTTGCTTTGGGCTAATCGTATCAAGCCGTCACAAGGTCAAGCGCAGCGGCTCCAGCAGCGCGATGCTCTGGATAGCCGGCTAACTCAGTTACAATCTCTGCCCAGCGAATTATGCAGCTCAGCTGTCGCGGCCACCAAAGCAGATTTGATGTCTAGTGCGTTTCATTTTGCCACGGTAATCTTCGCAATGAGAAGATTAGGATTCAGCAGCGCAAGTGATCAAATACAGGCCGTTGCCAACTCTGCGATGGATTGTCTGGACGCTGTCGAGGTTTCCGCCGGCAAAGGAAGCATGATGATATGGCCCATCATGGTCACAGCAGCTGAGTCTTGCGGCAATCCTGTGCTCCAGCACAGACTCAGCAGAATACTTTTGAAGAAACAAAAGGTTGGATTTGGCCACATAAGCAAATTGGTGCAGCTTGCAAAAGCCAATCTGGAGGGGCAGGGCGCGGTGTCGCAGTACTTTGCCCGAGGGTTCCTTTGCTCCGAGCTTTTGGGCTCTGTATACGATGTGCCGCCAATTTAAAGTGAGCCTAAATTGTATCATAGGTAAATAAACAAAATCTAATAATAGTACTAAAACAACAACAAAAAGACAGAGGGGGGATCTTCAATCATTGGTTTGCATTACAAGGGTGGCATAGTGCATCTGAGAGCGCGGAGCGCCATCAGCGTGCGGAGGTGTCGGTAGAAATAAAACCTGACTTTCTGACTCGAAATAGCCGCGCCGGGCTTTTAGTTAGTTTTATCTTGGCATGGCTTTTACAGAATTAGGATATTCATAGCGATGCGGCCGAGGTTGGCGTACTGGAGACAGACTACATTACTGAATTTACGAACTCGTCTTGATAAATAAATAATCAAGTAAGGAGCAGATCAGGCCTCCTACCTCAAACACTTCCGACAAGACTTTCTGAGATTTTCTTGGAACAATAACCCTCTCATTTTATTCTATTCGCAATCGCCCGCAAGAGTCCCGCTCAACCAGTTAGTCCACCGCTAACAATGGCACGCGGTCTAGGGCCAACTCTACAACACTACTCGTCATCTACAAGCGGCGCTTTTCTTGTCAAAGAGGTAGAACATGTTCAGAGCGACCAGGTCGAAAGACGTCTTTTAAAGCAGCGCTTCAACGTATGGAGCGTCATTGGCATCAACTTTTCCCTCACGGCCACGCCCCTCGGAATCGGGAGCTACCTCGTCTTTACCGTGGGCGTCGGCGGGCCGCCCTTTTTCATCTACGCCTACGCATTTGCCGTTGTGATGCAGCTCATGGTTTGCTTGAGTCTAGCTGAGATGGCGGCGTCTCTGCCTCATGTGTCTGGTACGTCCTTACCGCCCGAAATGTCTACTCGTTGTGGGTTGCATCTGGCTCATTCGCGAGTTGGTTAGGGCAAATATTCTGGGCAGCGGCTTTCGCACCACCAAAATCCGCACGTCTGCTTAGCTACTGGGCCGGAGCTCTTACCGTCATGTCCTGGACTTTTGCCACGGGCGGCTGCTTCGTCCTCGCGGCCAAAATGGTCGCCGCTTTTGCTGTACTGGTAGCAACCGGATACCAAATACAGCCATACCACATCTTCTTACTCGCACTCGCGGCAGCAATCCTCTCTCTCGCCTTCAACATTTGGTTGTTCCAGTGGGTGCCCAAGGTTGCCTGTTTCTTGATCGTCTTCATCAATGTCGGCACCGTCTTCATCCTGGTGGCGCTGCTGGTACGGACCCAGCACAAGGCAGCAGCCTCGTCCGTCTTTACAAATATTGTGAATGAAACCGGATGGTCCTCGAACGCACTCGTGTTTTGCCTCAATATTCTGCCAGGCTCCCTCTCAGTCTGCGCGTTTGACACGGCCGCCCACATGGCGGAAGAGATGCCGCGGCCGCAGCGGCACATACCGCAGGTCATGGTTTACACGGCCATGCTCAGTGCTGTAGGCGGCTTAATCATGGCTATTGTGTACCAGTTTTGCACGACCGACCCAGTAGCATTGCTGAACCCCATAGGCGGCCAGCCGATCTTTCAGCTGCTGCTCGACTCGCTGCGGTCGCGACCGTTGGTCATCTTGGCCGCCATCGTCTACTGTACAGTAGTCGTTGTTGGTTGCATCTTTTTTGTGACAACTCTGAGTCGCATTATCTGGTCCTTCTCAAGTCATGGCGGAACCTGCTTTGGTACTACTCTCGGCGCTGTTGACCCAACCTTTGGCCTTCCCGTCAATGCCGTCTACGCGACTACTGCGGTCACAAGCCTGGTTTGTGTGTTAGAGCTTGGCCCCAACTTTGTCATGAATGCATTGTTTGGCGCATCTGGAGTCTGTGCTGCGTGGTCATTCAGCATACCGATTTGGTGTCTACTTTTCGCGCAGGGCGGGCGCCAACGACTGGCATCGAACCGGCCATTTTCAATGAAACGAATGGGGTTTATCGTGAATATAGTTGCTGCAGCTTGGGAGATTTTCCAATCGTTATTTTTGGCATTCCCCGTTTACTACCCTGTTACAGCGGCGAATATGAATTGGGTAGTTGTGGTATTGATTGCTGGAGTCGCTGTTTTTGGACTTAACTGGTATTGCTTTGCGCGCCATTACTACCAAACGCCAAAAGCAATGTTTGTAGAAGCAGATGAAACTGCTAACGCATCTTAAGTAGTGTCAGTCATTAATCACTTCCCTAAAACGCACCGTGTGAGTTACTGGTCATTGGAATATGAAGCTATGGAAGGCTTTCACAGGGTAAGCGGGTAACAGAACAACCCGCCAAAGTCACCCCGGCTGTCCTCGTCCTATCCGAGATATCAAGCTGTAGAAAATGCTTTTCAAAATCTTAATACTTAGCAAACTTTATTGAACTATTTTTTCCCATTTTCTTTACATTCCTTGTGCTCTTGCTGGGCTCTGTGCTAGTTAAGTATTTTGTGGATAAAGGTACAGTCATACGGCCCGCGTGCAAAGGGCACGGGAGAAATGAAGAGCATGATAGGAGTGTCTTTTATATAAGTTGAGATTCGGGGTAATGACCTGTAGTCTATGGCAAGATGAGCCTCGCTTACTCGCTAGTAGATTGTTGCGACTTTAATGTTCTCGTATCTGCTTTGCGATAAAACACGATGCTTCGGGAACACGACGGTCATAGTCCATATGAGCAGCCAAAATATCCAGAGTTCCATTGCAAACTGCGTCTTCTTGATTGCAAATAACTAGAGTTTTGTTCTTGGGAAAGTTGGGAATACTTCCGTTATCTTGCTTATTCCTAACCAACAGTCAGCATCTAGTCTTGCACACATCACATTATGCTTACCTAGTATCGCCGAATGTCACTACAGCAGTGAGCCTTTCCATCATGGTAGAAGGCAAGTTTTCAACAGCTCTGTGGGTTATGGCCGCCCCTTGACTGTAGCCAGCAATGACGATTTTGGACCCAGGACATTTCGCAGTCGCATTAAAGATGAGGCGCGTAAGCTCTGCTACTCCGGCCGGGTCACCACCGCCAGGGAGAAGATTTGTCTCCTCGACAGCAGGATACTCGATACCTTCTGTAGCGACTAACGATTCCCCGTAGCGTTCTTTGAGGCTGCGCGAGAGTTCACGGCCAGCAACGAGGCCCTGGATGTCACATCAGTCCAACATTCTCCCGCCCACCATTTACTGACCAAAACTATACTTACCATGTTACTCGGCTCCAATGTACCTCGTGTAAAGAACATGATGATTTCTCGGCAGCCGCCGTTGCTGAATTCTGTAGACACGGCCACCGGTTTGGAGAGCCCACTGCAGACGTGCTGTGCCGAACCGCAGCCTCCATCGACAGCGAAAACTGCGGCTAGCATTAAAGGCAGAAAGGTATAAAATTTCATATTGACGATTAGTTAATCTTGATCAAGTATTGAGCTCTTTCTCGGGGCGCTGTCAAGGAGAGGTCTTATATAGCCATGGCTTAATGCTGCACTGCGTCAGTCTGCGCAGCCCTCGGGCCGCGATCGCTAGACTAGTATCTGCGGAGCAACCTTGAATGTTTTTTTGTGGCTCTGTCACAGATGGCTGGTTGTTGGATGCTGGTTGTTGGAATAGGCATGTCACTCCGACAAGACCAGGGCGAAAAACAATTTTAACCGGCCCCGTATATATCGCATTCAGAGCTCGATGTATCATCACGAAACGGGGAAGCCACTCCGATGTTAGCAATCAACTTTGTCTGATCTCGAGACTCTGTGTAAAGCCCGCCTGTTGGACGTTATTATTAATCTTTTCCACCAAGTTCCATCAGCTGCTCAAATCTAAAGGTATTTTCCCAGCTAGGAGTGGCAATTTACCGCGCTCATGTTCAACCAGCAGATTATGCTCATTGGCTGGTGATTGCGCTAGTTGCTTGCTCCCCAGTTACAACCTCGATAAGCTCTACAATACAGGTTGGTGCAATGGGCGGCGTAACGCATGGTGGATTAACGCGTGCCTCAGGGTCCCAGCTTGCGCATCCAGATCTTTCCTCGCAGAGCAAGCTGCACTGGCTGCTTGGCTCTCTGGTAACGCTCGAGACTTGACGTGTAGCGGACAATGGAAAACAGGGTAGCAATCAGACGGCAGAATGTGGGCCAGTACAAGAAAATCCCCCAGGAAAAGCATAAGCATTTTCTGACAGTAAAGCAATCAAGCGGCTAGCCCCCTGAAAACACTAGCTGCTAGCCCGCTGGGTCTGTATTCTCAGAGAAATTGCGCCCATCTGATTCCTGGCAAGCTTCGGGTGTGTGTTTTTCCCATTGAGCAAGCTATGCAGGGAGCATGGGAGAATGTTGCGCAGACGAACTTCCTGCTACATCCTGGGCGGGCTGAGCCTCATTGTGGCTGAGCCTTATCAGTACGGCATTGCCAGCGGACTGGGACCACGAAGAGAAAGAGCTCGAAGCCGCGGAGACTAACAACCCAGTACGCAGCTGGGTGGTCGGGAGGACGAGCTATGTAGATGTGTGGGCAAGGCGATAGGCTGGCCAACGGCCACCTATATCCACGATATCCACGTGGGTGGAGGCTATGAATATCATGTCGTCATACGCGCACGGTTGGACGAGGTATTCAACCACTGGCACTTTCTCGAGAAATACCTCTCACACCTTTGCTGCTCAAACAGCTTGACGACTAGCCGTGAACCATCATGGCGCAACAAGATGCAACGCCGGAGAACATGACCATGATGCAAGGTTTCGAGTGGTACGTTCCCGCAGACCAAAAGCACTGGAAGCGCCTCAAAGACCATATCCCGCAGCTGAAAGTATGGGGCATCGACAATATCTGGATACCTCCGGGATGCAAAAGCTCCAGTAAGGAAGGCAATGGATACGATATTTACGACCTGTACGACATTGGCGAGTTTGACCAGAAAGGTACCGTCGGCACGAAATGGGGCACTCGGGGAGAGCTAGAGGAACTTTGCAAAGTTGCCAACGACTGCGGTGTTGGCATTTACTGGGACGCGGTCCTGAACCATCGCTTCGGTGCTGATCACAAAGAAAAATGCCAGGCCATTGAGGTTGACAACGAGGACCGCAATAAGACTGTTAGTGACCAGTATGAGATTGACGCCTGGGTCCGCTATGACTTTTCCGGAAGGAAAGGCAAGTACAGCAAGCAAAGATATCACTGGTATCATTTCAGCGGCGTCGATTACAATGCTTCCAACGGGAAAAAGGCTGTTTATGTGATTTTGGGTGAAAAGTCGGACGGCCTCTGGGCCGATGTGCCGGATGTGGACGATGAAAAAGGCAATTACGACTACCTCATGGGCTCCGACCTCGACTACGACCATCCCGAAGTGCAGGCCGACGTACTCGCCTGGGGCACCTGGATCGCCCAGACGCTTCCCCTCAAAGGCATGCGCTTCGACGCCATCAAGCACTTTAGTGCCGAATTCTTGCAACGCTTCGTCAAGCAAATGGACGAGAGCTACGGCAGCGGATGGTTCTTTGTCGGCGAATTTTGGAAGGATAGCCTTGAGGACATGAACAATTATCTGGACCGGATGGAAGAAAAGTTTTCGCTCTTTGACGCGCCGCTGGTACACAACTTTAGCGCCCTCAGCCAGACTGAATCGGCCGACATGCGCAAGGTCTTTGACGGCACACTCGTGCAGTGCCGACCCGTCAATGCTGTGACCCTAGTCATGAACCATGACACGCAGCCATACCAGGCTCTCGAGGCGCCCATCAGCGATTGGTTCAAGCCCCTAGCCTACGCGCTCATTCTCCTACGGGGTGAAGGCTACCCGTGCATCTGGTATGGCGACTTGTACGGCATTCAAGGTGAACACCCGTTTCCACCTTCATGCGGTGGTGTACTCCCGCACCTGGCCCTCGCACGAAAGCTATATGCCTACGGTAAGCAGGCCGACTACTTTGACTACGCCACCTGCCTGGGCTGGATCCGCTACGGCACACATGACCGGCCGGCCGGGATGGCCGTCGTGCTAAGCAATGCCGGAGCCGGCACGAAACGCATGCATGTCGGGGAGATTCACGCTGGCGAGCGCTGGACGGATGTCCTCGGCTGGTCCGAGGGAGAAGTCGTCATCGACCAAGACGGGTTCGGCGAGTTTACGTGCGGCAAGTGCAGCGTGAGCGTGTGGGTGAGAGGAGATGCAGTGGGCAGGGAAAGGTTCAATGAGGATTTCAATAGTGATATTTATCAGACGGCATAAAAAAACGTAGATATAGGTCTTATAGCCAAAGCAGGGAGGTAAATTCGAATAGAACAAGAGTGTACCCTATGTCTCCGTCAATCACTTCCAACTTCTTGAGCACCTTCCCAGCCAGCTTTGCAAGCCACTGATTACCACCCATAACTGCCTTTTTGACGCCGTCCTTGACTTTCTTATTTACAGCATCCGTGAACTCGCTGGAACTCTTCGTATCGCTATCCATTGGACTTGGCGACTGGTCCATTTCCAAAAAGTTTGCTATGCTTGACTATTAGTGCGATGATATTGAGAAGATTTTGGTCGAGCGTGGCTGGGAGATGAGCTCGCACAGCCATCTTCACTGCCGATTTATCGTTTTTGGTCCTGTCTTCATTATTCGCAATAACGGCAGCCTCACGTTCCACAGGTTCGGCTTCCAATTTGCGCCTGTTGGGGATGATATGCTCGTGGTGAGGGAGCAGAAACGTCGGCACAACAAAACTGGCATCCGCACCGCGCAATCTCAGGACTTCATGGACGCTCGTGTCTTTGGCAACTGTCCTGTGCGCCACGATACCGTCAAACGCCATCTGACAGAGAATGTTGGATGAGGAAAGCAGAGGGACATGCGCCTGGCCAGCCACGGAACCCAATCCGACCGTGAAGTGGGCGTCTGTGCCCAAGACGAAATGCTTTCTAGCAAACGCTCAAACTCTGGTCGAAACTGTCATAGGTGCAAAAAGCTCCTCATCCTTGGAGATGACAATTGACGTAATGCAGTGACTTTGACAGATCGCTGTGGCGGATTGGGCACAGAGGGCTTTGAATGAAGTTGTGAGCAAATTGCTGCCCGGCGTGCAGATTCATCGTCACAACCAGTGTCATAGATCAAGGTCGAACACCCTCGCAAAGTTGCTCTTGCTTGGCTGATGGCATTGCTTGCATCAAGCAATTCGAGTGTACGGTGATATCGCTCGACGGCAGCGTCACTATGCAAAGGCTGCTTCTTGATAGCCTTGTATGCCATAGTATTAGACGAGTCCTCAGGAGGGTTGCCGGCTGTCATTTTCGCCTTGGTTTCGGCTACTTGCGGCTGGCTTCCGTCGGTAGCAGAACCCGTATTGGGCTTACCAATGCTCGTTGGCGATCCTCCCGCCTCCTCCTCTGAGCTTGTTCGAGGCTTTTTGGACGCCAACTCTTGCTTCCCTCCCTTGATATTTGCAAAGCAATGGTCCACTTCAATGCTTCGAAATAGCGAGACAATGACGTGCTCGGTCTGGATCGCAAGTTCCAAATCGTCAGAGAGCTTGATGCCGACTTCCACACCGTGGACGGTGAAGCTCATCGATTTCCCGCGCAGGAATGTCAAACAACGCGATCTTATCGTCGATGAAATGCAGCTGCTTTAACAGTCCTCGTAGCATCCATCTTGTAACACCGCCTACGATTTTGTATTGGAAGAGGCAAGCAATATAGATTGCCGGATAGCAGAGGGCTGCAAAGACCCAGTACAGCAACCACGATGTCGAAGCGACCGCGTACGCCAGATAGATCGAGGTAAACAGTGTCCATATGTGGCAGAAGGGTAGAACGCGGTTGCCGCTGCTATCACCTTGTAGCAGAAAAAAGGTCAGAATTGGCGCTCCCGACACGGTCCATTGCCACACCCATTGGTAAATGGCTGATTGTACTATCGTGGTGGCGAGGGAGAGAGTTGGTGTAAGGAGCCTCAATAGCGATCGCCTAGCAACGGTGGTGTGGCTTTGAGGTTTCACTGATGGGGCGACCGATTCCGCTGCCAGAGAGTTCATCTCCGCATGGACGCCAAGAAACAAAACGGCTTCCGGTATGGCACTCCAGATCATAGGAGTTGTCAATGCTGTTAAAGTTTATTAAACAGCGTATTGAACGATACAGCATTTTCCAACGCTGATCTGTTCAAAGAGAAATTGGGTGGCTTGTTGAACAGGTGGGACAGCTCAAGTCAGCTATTACGCGCGACAAAGTCAATGACGCTGCCAGACCTAATTGTTTTGTTTCATGAAACAGCATAACTTTTATGTCACCAGGTACTCCTCCGTAGCTACTCAGGTTTCAAACGGAGGATTATTTTTCTATTTTCTTTTTCTTTTTTCCAATCTTTAATTTCGCAAAGCTTGCTCGAGCATCTTTACTCCCTAGTATTAACTGCAGACTTTACCTATAAGTATAGTTTCCAGTACTTATACTACTAAAGTACCCTACATATTCTCTACGATCATATGAGCATACATTATAGAGTAGTAATTTACAAACCCAGCAAGCCTCTCCTTGACTATAGTATTATCTCTTAGTGCATTCGTCGGTGATACCACTGGTCAAGCATTAATCTTCAAATCGCCACATAGGTTCAATCAGCAGCAGCATCGACTTCCTGACTTCCCTGGTTTCTCTCATTACTACTATACTCGTTCGTGCTATCTGTATCGTTATAAATTGTACTGTCGTCTTTTGGAGTATCGAAGGCTGTTGAAAACGAAGCTTCTGAAGGCGCAATTACAGCCTCGACACATTCTCCTACTAAGAGCTGATATTCTCCGTCCTCTTTCGTTATCTCCTTAATGGCCGTCTTCTTAATAAGGTCTAGTGCCCTACACTACTCTAATATATTTTAGAGTGTATCATTAAGTCTTACCCTAAGGAGATGTTTATTATATTCTAGCTTATCTAGTGTAGTTATAGTATTATAGTAGAGCTTTAAAATCTTCTTATGTTACTCTGTATTTCTAAGAAGTGTTATAAATTGTTTAGTATCCTTTAGAGACTTTTTAATTCCTTTTATATAGACGTGAACCTAATAAACTATAGTATAATATATATTAGTAATTAACTAAAAAAGTTCTAATAATAGTATACTAACGTCTAAACTCTTTTTAAATAATAAATAACACCTTAAAACTTCTCTAGTCTATACATTAAGCTTAATCACTTTAGGATAATCCTAGTGGCGACTTCGTATTAGATTAGGTAATTTACGGCTATACTTATAGTAGGCCTACTCTAACACCTTCTATATATAAATAAAAAGTTAGTACTATAAACTTAATAGTAAATAAATTAGGAAAATTAATAAAATTTATTAACTTAGCTAGTAAAACGTTAGTATTTACTTTATATCTTCTACTACTTTAGTAGTACTATTAACTTCACTTTCTATATTAAATAGCCACCTTAATTAGATCTTACTATAAATTATAGTAGTAGAAATCACTAACTTCTTTATTTATTAATATTATATAGTTTAAGAGTAGGTTATAAGCCTTCTAATCTAAGCTATAATATATATCTAATTATATCTACTTTATAGTGTACTACCTCCGCCTCTAAAGCTTCCTTTTCTATACTTTCTATAAGAGATAGATTAAAAAGCTTAGGAAATTATACTTTTACCTTTAGTATTAAGTTAAATATTTTAGTGCCTAATAGATTTAAAGTTAGATTATAAATATAATTAAAATTATATTCCTATAGTAGATTAGCCACACTTTCTTATATTTTATATTACTTCATTAACTTTAAAATGGTTTTCGTTTTATATATATAAGCGTTTTCGCCTTTAAATATATTTTTAAGTGCTAGATAGATAACTCTCTCATCTAGTAGGGGGTTCTTACTTCCTATAATAGTGATAAGGTGGTTACTAAATAATTCGCATTCGTAGTTCGCCCGCCGATTGAACAGGGGGTATTAAGATTATTTAAACTAAATAGAATCACCACTGCGCATTCTTTCCGTTTTATCACTGTATGAGTCCTCGCAGACGCATGTCTAAGAAGATTTTAGCTGCAGAAAGTATGCCCTCGCTGAGACATGCAGGCGTGGAGTGGACCGCGGGTGGCATCGTAACGACGCGTCTCGGATCAACTCTCGAAATAAAAAGCGGCATGCTTGCCAAACCCTACACAATTTGTACTTGGCATTTTAGGCTCTGTTCTTGAACTAAAGAAAAAGTCGTGGTATTTTTTGCTGTTTCCCGCATTTATCTTAAGCGCACACTGTGTGACTTGCAACCCCCTTTCTCCTCCCTGATCTTGGCGATCGCAGGAGATGAAGTTGGCTCACCCTTCTACTGCGAGACGCCAAGCCAGCATCGCCATGGCATCACCTACACCGCCCAGTCGTAGCGAGGGAGCATACCTACTACTTGCTGCCGGTTGAGTCGATGGATGAGCATGACGGGTAGGTGGTAGTCTTCCGATAGGCGCATTAACAACTCTTTTGCCTCGAATTAATAAGCTATAGCACTCTGCCCGAGTTGTACAATGGATAAAATTGAATCGCACAGGTGAGTAAGGACGTTCAACAGGAGAAACCGCGACGGACGAGATAGCGATTAGGCTCAGGGTTGAAAAGCCAAGCTAACACGATAGCCAACATGTGAAGCTGAGCAATAGCTCTCGCCGTGTTTGCTCGCCGAGTGAATGAACCTAGACATGGGTGCTGCGTCATTCTAGCATCTGCCAATGATAAGCAGACACGAGCTGATACATGAATACATGCATACAATATGCATATGCATGTCTAAGGGCTGAGCTGGACTTTCAAAAAGAAATACTCAAAGCAAATTAACTCCTCGCTCACCCCCGCCCCCGCTTCTATTCCTTAATAATTCGTCCGTACCTGGTCTACATTAGCAGCACTTCGAGATCTCGGGTATGATTTGTGCGCACACCTCTACTTTACCTTTTTACTCTGGTGCAACAATACAATGTCTTCCTTTCAGGGTCAAGCCTTAGCTTCTCCAGTCTTAGTATGTCTATATACGTGCGGAACATACTGCCGCGTATTCCTAGCTGGCTAGTAGCTGCAGTAATATCACATGGACATGGCTGGCTAGTATTTTCCAGACTTTAAGTGCGATATATGTGATCAGTATTTTAGTAATTAATACGCGTTAACGAGCATATAAACGACGCGGGCCACTAGATTAAGTCGTCCGAATCGGACGACTTTAAAATCTATATTTTAAAATTTTTAATTAAATTGTTATTTTAACATAATTTATTTTTTAATAATTCTAATTTCAAATATCTTATAAATATATTATAAAATCTATTTTATTAATATTTCTTAAAGTATTAATATATATAAATTATAATTATTATATAAATTATTTTATTAATATAAATTAGTAAAATACAATCTATACTATAATAAGATATTAATTCTTCTAAGAATAATATATTTAGTGGACTAAGGCTAAGATTCTCTAAAGTAGATTGTGCTGTGGATGTATTATGATTGTTTCAATCCTCCGCGCTGTCGATAAAGGAGCGCTGCTTTGCAAGTTGCTCACTGTCGCGACGTAGCCGATCCAGATAACTTATGATGTTTCCATTAGCTTTCTCTGATAATATCTTTCTGTATATCATACCTTTCGCTTACTCGGATCATCCGATCTCGAGAAACATATTGGCAGTGATCCGCGTATCCTGCAGCTTGGCACTTTGCGCATGGTGTCCCTCCTGAGCACCGAATCTTTTGGGCATGCCACCTAGAGCAACTACATAATCCAGTTAATGCAATTCACATGTTCAAAGACAAATGACACCCACGCGACCGATTTCTTGATTGGCGCCCTGGCATGAAGAGTCCGCCGTGACGGGATGCGAGGTGTATCGGGCTGGTCTGTCTGGCCGGCGCTGAGGTACTCTAGTTGAAGGCATGATTGCACGGTTGCTGTGCGCAAAAAAAGAAAATACGCAAGCCCGGAGATCGGTGTATTATTGCTTCGCCGAGGAATAATGTGTTCAAACTCCGTTTTGTTTCGGAGGGTAAACTTTGAAGACAACAGCATGATCGGCAAAAGTAAATCTTGCCGGTCGCACTACGGTCGCACCCCACATTACGATTTCTTATTGCTACTCGGGGGCAGCCATAAAAAGGCGAGTGCTGCCTATTTTGTTAAACAATAAGTATTTCGGCATTATTTCTAAAGGGCTTGGTTTCATGAAGAAGATAATCCCTGCCATGGCGGCTGGCTTTACATACTCCTACTTTCGCATTCCGGAAGGAAACGACCTCAGAGAACCTGCTCGCCAATACCGTGACCTACGGCTGCGTGGGCTGCAAGCGTCGCCCTCCTCACTCGCGTCAACGTATTAGACAGAGGCTGCTTTTACCATATCGGACTGGGAGGACCGCCTATCAGCTGCCGACTTTTCGCTTCCAGCAGAAGCCGGACACTTTTCTATCGATTCTAACGGAGAGCAACGATGGCAGCTGCTAGGACTGTTCCTGCTTCCAGATCACCGAGGTGGCGGTCGTGGCAAGGAGCTGTGCAAGGCTGCGCTCGACTACCTTGGGTCGTATATGGCCCCCGCTTGCAAAGTCCTCGTGCGGCTTATGATCAAGCCGGACAACCAAGCTATTGTCAAATTGTACCAGAGTCTTGGATTTCTCGAAGTGGAAGATGTACTCTGGCAGAGGCGATTCGTGCCAGTGGAGATGGGCATCTGCTGCCAAACGGCACAGACTCGGAAAAGTATTCATCACGAACGGGTTTAATTATGAACTTGAAAATAGCATCGTGATTAAATTCCTGGAGCAAATTTGTTACTAAATCAAGAGTATACGAGCGTTCATAAGAGGGACTCAAGAGAGTTTCTGGGTGATAGTACAATATGCGAAAAGGCATGAAACGAAACAATATTTGGCTGAAGGCTATCGCATCAAGTCGCAAAGTCTTTTTTTCTCATGCGATCGCCACCGAGATAGGACTGCCGGTATCTTCACCACCGAAACGCGCTTTGGGAGCTTCAGCCCCGAAGCCAAGGTGGTTCGTCGATGTGGTGGTACCGAACCTCACAAGCCAGCAAATGACCAGTGCATCTAAAAATGTCTACGAACTACATGAGTACGCTAACGACCACTAAGAATGAGCTCGATCTCAGTCAAGCTTAGGGAGCCATGGCGATATAATCAGATTAATGGATTGCATGAATGATGATGCTAGAATCAAGTGCCTCTGGAGGGTAAGAAGTCCCTTTCCCGTCGTCTACCTAATCAGTGCGATCTTGCCGCAACTCACAGTTTGGGCGGGGAGCGTCCTGAGGCATTAGACACCACTGAACTCCCCGGCCGCCCCTCTGGCCTAATAACAGAGCAGCTTCCAGGAGGGAGCCATTTCAGGGAGCCAAAGGCTCTTTGAGCCTGAGTTTTGTGATCAAAAGCGGCGAGGACAAATAAACAGACTTCGATTAGTGTTACACACGAGTGATGCTACACAGAGCGGGCAAATTTTCAGCCTGATGAAAGGGAGTCACAAAGGTACCTACATAGATACTGCTGATATCCAGCACAAGGTTTTATCCTAGGTGCATCACCTTTGCGTATACCCTACATGCAGCATCCAATAACGCGCAACCCCCCATCAAGACTCCTAGGTGGTCGTTTTTGCTTCAACTTTCAGTGGAATAACCCTCGCCAGAACAGCAATGATGTCTTTTAACGTTCTCACCGCTACAGTGACTGACATCGAAGAGGTGCTGAACAATGGTACGCTCACCAGCGAGATCGTGGTGACGGAATACTTGAAGCAAATTGACCGACACAACGGTTACCTCCATGCCGTCATTGCGATTGCACCGAAGCAACTGTTGATCGAGAGAGCTCGTTTTCTAGATCAGGAGAGGGCTGCTGGCCGCGTGCTGAGCCCTCTCCATGGCATTCCATTGCTCATCAAGGTTCAAAACGCCCGCTCTCTCTACGAGGATATTGCCTAACTGTAGATAGGATAACATCGCCACCCATCCTGACCTCGGCATTGACACAACAGCAGGAACGCTTGTCTTGGTGGGCTCAAGGGTTAGAGAGAGCGCCTCATGTGTTTCGCAGGTATGAACAGCCTTTCCAAGCTGGGTTGTAACTAGAAGCTGACTAGAAAAAGTTGCAAGCAGCTGGGGCCATCATCCTTGCAAAGCAAACTTAAGTGTATATCTGCCGCCCTTTGCTATGCTCGTTGATAACTAATGCTAGGAAGGAACTGAGCAATTTCAGGTGAACTATAATACTGTCTTATGTTTTGTCCTACTTTGCGCCGTAGGGCTAACATCTTTCTAGAGGTTTGCTATGTCCACTGGCTGGTTGGCCGTTGGTGGACTTACCCAGTCCACCCTATGCCATCGGAGGCAAACGCTGGGACGATGGTTTCGGGGACATAGTGTATGCCTTTGCTAAATCTCCAAGGCAACAGCAGCACTCTGATTCTAACTCATTCACCAGGCGGTAGGTGGCTCGTCGTCAGGATCTTGCCCTGGAGTAGCTGCCGGGTTCGCTCCTGTAGCCCTAGGCACTGACACCAACGGGTCAATTTTAACGCCAGCGACACGACATGATGTCTATGCCATGAAGTCAACTCTCGGTCTCATCTCGCAAGATGGCATCTGTCCCATATCATTCGATTTCGACTCTGCTGGCCCAATTGCCCGGTCAGCGCGAGGCATTGCTATCCTCATGGACGTGATTGTCGACCGTAAGCAAGGCGCAAGTATTCCTAACGGGACCTATACGTCGCGACTCACCGGAGTCTTTGATGGATTATGAATCGGAGTGCTGGAGCCGAAAGATTGGCATATGCCCACTGTCGCGGTAGCGCCGAACAAGGAGGTGGATGACCAGCGGGTACGCACAGTTCCCCCGCGTATAGCCCACCAATACTTTACTGAAGTCACTAAATATATATGGCAGGACGAGGATATTAAAGCAGCGTACGAGAAATCAAAGTCCCTCGGGGCCGTTGTAAAGCAGGTTCTGATTACATCGTTGGATGAGCTGGTTGTGGACGGAATGAGCCAGCTTCAAAGAGTCATGGGTGAGTTCAACTGACTGAGCGAATAACAAGACTGTAACTAATATTATTCAATCCTGTTCAAAAGATTCAAGGTTTAGGCAGACCATAGACTCATATCTCTCGAGATTAGAGGGAAGCAAGGTCCAAAACCTGGACCAGCTAATGCAGTTCATGCGCGATAACGCGAAGCAGGAAATGCCTCCTGAGTCTCGCAGCATGACTCGTCTGGGAAATGGTAGCAGCTGTCAACATTACCGAAAATGAGTACCACGACGCTCTCGCTGATATGAGAGATTTGGGTAGAAGGCGTGCCGTGGACAATTGCTTGAAAGAGTATGACGTTGACATTATACTTGGACCTGGAGATAGTAGGATCAATGAGCTCTACGCAACCACCGGCTACCCGATGGCAGTCGTACCTCTTTCCTACGCGCGCTTCAACGGCAGACCACTCGGAATGTGCGCTGTTTCCACCGCAAACCAAGAGGGCCTCCTCATCCAGTTCATGAGCGCCTGGCAAGCTCATTTCAACACTGAGAGGCAGCTACTTACATGGATTGGAGGTGATCCCGATCATGTCACCAAGAGAGAGCTCTGAACTTTGGCATTTCTCTGCTAGGTCCCAATTGGCGCATTGGTCAAGCGCACATGATATTCCTGGGTACCAAGTAGCAGGGAATGGGACACCAAACAACCCACCTCAAATGACCAAGTTATTTCATATCTGTTTCTTTCCGATCGTGTGATTTTATACTTTAAGCCCGTTGCCGGGCAGGGATATTCAGTACGTGCCCGCAACTACAGTGGAGTCAAGACCTCATGCCCGCTGCCGAAGCCAATCATCCTGGAATAGCTGCCCAGCAGTGTTTACGTTGTTCTGGACCCCATTGGGGCATCTTTTCCCATAAACTGTAGAAAAGAAAGGGTTTCTTCTCACCCGCCTCGAGGAGTGTCTGCTTCTCCTCCAACGATGTCAATGTCGACAAATCGATCCCAGCGGCAAATGCGGCTAGCAGGTTGCTCGTGTCAGCTGGATCTACAACAGCACAGAAGGCTAATAAGATAAGATGATACAATACCTTGAACCGAGAAGAATCCAGTCGTCAGGCGGCCGCGCGCAAGCACAACCTTGGGCGGAGGCCCTAATAGCGCCATAATTTCAGTGAGGTGCGGTCTTGTTACAGTGGAGAGCTGCCGGAGTTACGGCGCCAGTGGGAGGCGCTAAGCCCTGTGAGCGGCACTGGCTCGGCAACCTAAAATGACAGCCCGCTACTCCGGACCTAAATTGTACAAACATAACTAATGTGTCAACGTCAGGCAGCCTTACGAGCAAATAATAAGGACCTGGCATTGGGCGAGGCTTAGCTCCTATTATCGTCGTCAGCAGCCTGTGTGGCACATTGTCCCGACCGAACTGCCGCCGCCGCCCGGTGTAGCTTGTTCAGGGGCATTCTTTGAGGCACTGTTAGTGGCATCGTCTCTGTCAAGATTTGCAACCTACTAGTCCAATTGATCGGCAACATCTCCCGTGTACGCTCAAGTACTGGCGCCTTATTATTGTCTTAAAATGAGGCGCTGGCTGCTGCCCTGAGCCCTGTCCTAAGCTGCCCATGAAGCACCGCCTCCCAATGCCTTCGTTTCCGTTGGGACCGAGCCACGATCACTGCCACGATCACGGGGCCAACGTTGGGCCTACTCCATGCAGGTAACATTCTGCGAATTTTTTTTTTTTTTTTTTTTTTTTTTTAAATACGGACGCCGAACTCACTGGTCTGAGGTATTAAATATTCGCCCTATCTCGCCACTTCTTTTTGCTTCATGCTGTCGCATGCGCCTCTCCCATTCTCACACATATCGCGAGCCGAGCAAAAAGAGGGACAATGACGTCCACCGAAGAACTCAGGCCCAAGGCCCGCTCTACGCACAACGCATCCACCACTGCTTCCGAGTTTGAGATGCGAGATTATACTAATCATAATGCAGAGTCTGGCGAGGGAGAGAAATACTTTGTATGTCGCTTCGAAACTTTTATGCTTATATGGAGAGGATCATTAGGGCAATATTAACAACAACACCTATGTTACAGATTGGCCCTCGAAACCTATCACACCACTCAAGGTGGCCAATGTTTCTTCGGTTGCATGGTAGTATTACACCGCTCATGATATTACCGTTGCTGGTGGTACTGTGTTGGACAACCGCTATTACCTGCGTCTCTCTACTTTATCATAACGGTGAGTAGATACCCGTCCGACCGTGTTTGCCGGACCCTTGTCTAACCGCATTTGCTTAGTTGGGATAAATCCCCTGCTATTAACCGTGCTTGGTTTTGTTGTGGCACTGTCCCTTTCGTTCCGAAGCTCGACAGCCTACGAACGATACAACGAGGGCCGGAAATACTGGGCTCAACTGACGCTTACGACGCAGAGCCTTGCTCGCCTCGTCTGGATCCACGCCGATGAGCGCCCAGAGTCGGAGATCGAAGATCTCCTTGCCAAGGTATCATTCTGCAATCTCCTGGTGACCTTTTGCATCGCACTAAAGCACCGACTGCGCTTCGAACCCTATACACATTACGATGACCTCAAGTTTCGCCTAAAGCATCTTTCCACTCTTGCACACAAGGCAGAGCCCCGTGATTGGCAGGACCCTTCAAGCTTGAAGTTGATTGGATTGCTACTGGGTCTGCCAATGGCCGAAGACAACCCGAGAAAGCTGATGAAGGGATCAAGTAGTCCTCTTGGCAATATACCCTTGGAGCTGCTAAGTGCCTGCTCGGCATATATCAAGACGATCATCAACAACGGCACTTTCAAGACACCATTCTACCAGGCCCAGTCCCTAACTTTCATCTCTCAGATGAACGATGCACTTGCCGGAACGGAGCGAGTGCTAAACACGCCGCTCCCGCTGGCATACTCAATCGCCATCTCACAGATTACATGGGTCTACATCCTGATCCTACCATTCCAGCTCGTCAAGGCGCTGAAATGGGTTACTATACCGGCAACCTTCTTCGCGGCGTACATCATTTTAGGAATTGCGTTGATTGGCAGCGAGGTTGAGAACCCTTTCGGCTACGACGTCAACGATTTGCCGCTCGACCACTTTTGTGAGCAAATCAGGCACGATATAGAGATCATCATGTCTCAGCCCGCAGCAACCGACTTTGAGAAGCACGACGAAAATGCCATCCTCTATCCGCTGAGCCAACAGGGCTATCAAGCTTTGCGCAACAGCAAAACCGTCCAGGAGATTAGGGAGCTGCTCCGTGCTAAGCCAGATTTAACGGCAGCCGAGGGTTGCACACATGTATAACATTTGTTGAGTTATTCGTTTCATCGGCCCGCGCTCCTCTCCACAGGCCCAGGACACTATATTCACACTAGTGAACAGTTTCTTAGCAAGAGCTGCAACACATTTAGGACTGAAATTAGACGCCAAAAATAGTAATCAATCGGAGGCCATTGCTACATGAGCTATACGCAACTAGGTTGTGCGATGGCTCTAAGGAAGTGCGTGCGCGGTGTCTCGGGTGAAGATCTTTCAAGAACTGCCTACTATTGTTCCTCATAGGCGCACTTGCGGCTGCGGCAATAGCATGAATTCGTGTAATGTCGAACAGGCAGACAGCCTCACCACTCTAGGCCAATGCAGATAAGGCTCCCACTCGCTACAGCGAACCAGGCAGTGGTTCCCTAACCTTTAGGTACATTAGTATAGATTGAAACGGCTAGTATTTTGACTCTAGCGCGGTCGCTCTCTAAATTAAAACCTTCACTTTAGTAGTCAGTACACTAAATACGACTCAAGAGCGTGCTCCAGTCGGTGCTAAATAGCAAGACTCATACTTATAACTAAGGCATAGTAGCTAGGTTCTTATACCCGATGTTATCGGGTAAGCACTTAACACGGGTAGTGCATGTGCCAAAGACACGGTCCTATAGCCGGGTCTGCTTACCGTAGTTGAAGCTACTCTTCCAGCCTCTTCAGTGGTGAAGGTCGTGATCTTCAATAGCGAGCTCAGCGTCAAAAAGTTTAAGCACAGGCGTCAGAGGGTTTAGGACATAGGCCATAACACGTAGGCCGCTGTGGCCGGTAGTCTCCGTAAAATTAAGGTAGAGGTTGTAAGCGTACCACTCGTAAAAGTTAAGCGAAACGCCCATCCACCGGAGTGTTAGAAAGGTGAGTAATAGAATACCAACAGTATCACTGAATTCCTACACGCCGTCTGTATACAGAGACAACAGCGGGATAGGGTGCTTAGTCAAGTGGTGGGTACGGTGGAATTGCCAGAGCGAGCCGATCTCGTGCATCAGGCGGTGGTACCAGTAGAACCAAAAATCGAGAATGATGCCGTAAATTCCGATGATGAGTGGCATCCAGAGCCAACGGGCGTCGACGGGAACCACATCGTTATCCCATATAAGAACGTTAAACATGACGGCGCGTACCAGGCTGGCCATCATGACAGACAGGAGAACCTTGCCCACTGAGTTGTTCAGGATGTCGTCGCGTTGTTAGACGTCGCCGTCCAAGTGGCCGTACCAGTGGCCCATCTCGCACACGTTCCTCAGCAGGCGAGTCATGAACCAGCGAGAGGAAGAGTAGTAGACCAGGAACGCGCCCAGCTGCCCGATGTTGTAGCCGGTGGCCCAGATGAACAACTGATGCAGGATCAGAAGCCCCGCGGCGTGCGTGATGATCCATCGGTGCATCACCCACTACGGCAGGTAAGGAACTTTGTCCGTCTTTGCGTGGACCGGGACTTATCGGTCGAGGTCGTTGTGGAAGACATCGGCTCGGGCCAGTGCCCAATGCGCAAACTGATGCTGGCTCTTGTTCCAGGTTCGCCATGTAGACTTCATCGAGTCCTTGTTGACCTTCGTTGACATTGTTTTTGTAGCCATGGTCGGGGAGTAGACAGTTATTGAGTAGTCTCTGAGCACTGATGAAGTCATCATCAGTCGCAATGCATCACGAATCCGCTACTATAAAAAGGGGAGTATATATATGTTATTATGCGGAGGCGGAGTGATAGATAATCATTTGACTAGTCAATTCGCATCTACACGTTGGTTAGTGATTACACAGCAGCGCTATTTTAGGTTGATCCGATTCTCCGATTTATACTAACTGCCTCGGTACCCCGCGTGTGCTAGCTTGGCAAGGCCTTTTAAGATGGCTACTTGGTATATCCGGCATTGCAAGACAATGTAGTCCGGCTTGGCGCCCGCGACAGTTCGGCTTGTACCTCGCCCGGAGTTTCGATGGAGGCCAGGTCCGGACACAATAGGGACTATGCCCCCAAATATGTACCATGCCTGGTTCATCCGTCCAGTTTGTAGGAGGAAAAGTACCTGCAGTATCCTTAACTAGACGGATTCTAAGCGCGGAAATACCAATCTCAGCGGTTGTGAGATTGAAGGGCCTCGCGGAAGTAATGGCCACTACCATTCAATGGAAGGCCATTGCCGCCAGAGGCAGGTGTGAATAGGAAATCTTTTCGTTTCGAAGGCTCGCAATGGCAAAAATGTTGATGACCAGTGCGACCTTGGCGTGCCCGATGTTGTGATATAGAGGCAGGTTGTTCTGCGCATTGTCGAGCACAACGTGGAGAAACGAGGCACAGTACGGACGATGGAGGCAGCGATATGTGACGACGCAATTGTCAAAGTAAACCTCAAATAGCTGCGTTGCAAGCTGCCGATCTGGAATCAGCACCGGCTCGCTAAAGGGGGGGGGGCTCATCGGCCGGTCTCCAGCCGACACAAGAGGTTGTGAGCGCTCCAAGCCAGTGAGAACATGGGGGGTCGCGTTCCCCTTCTGTGAAGAGAATCTCTTCCAGGCCCGATATAGGAATACGAGATCTGAATTGAGGTCGAAAAATTGACCTTCAATTTCGGCAGTCTCGAGTTCTGACGAGGCCCGGCTCCGGGGCTCATCGCCTACAGAAGCATTCGAGAACTCACCACCTGGTCCGGGGCCAGTCCTTTCTACGGGAATTTCTTATTGCCGTTTACTCATGTCAGTACAGTCTAGACCACAAGACAGGAAGGAAATTATACCTCAAGGATCCTCCGGCCGGCGGCGTCTGGGTGGCGTCATCCCGCACCGTCGTCGTCTCTGCGGCTTGCGGTGTTGGAGGCCGCCCGCATCGGTACTCGGTATCGTGCAGACACTACGGGTGCCTCTTGGTGCAGACATCGCAAGAGACATGTCGCCGTGCACCTGCGCTTCTTGACTTTGCAGTAGTCGCAGGCCGGGCGGACCTTGTGCAGCTTGGGGTCGGGGGTCCGGCCCCGAGCGGGCGCGTCGAGTTGTCGGACGTTTGGCGCGTGGTCCGACGCCGCTGGTGTTTTGGACTTGAGCCGCGCTGGCTGTTGCCTTGTTGTATGGGTTTCCGGTTGCGTTTGGCTGGTTGAATGCTGACCGTAGAATCCGGATAATTGCCCTGGGTAATTGACCCGGATAAGGGAGTTGACAACGCCACGTGTCGTGGCTGGCACTATTTTTTATTGACTGAGAAGAGAGATGGAGCTGCTCATCCTGTATGATGAACCTTTTTTTTTTATAAAAAAAAAGAAAAAAAGAAAAAAAGAAAGAAAGAAATGATAATTGCATAATTTCTAGCAGCATCATGTTCTATTGCTGCGCGATTTGAGAGTGCGAGAGCAAACATGGGCAGCAGGAATGGGGAGGGCCTGATAGGCAACTAGAATCTTGTCGGGGAATTATAACAGCGCTGTGGCTGGGGGGCTTTCGGGGAGGCAGCCTGCGACCCGCGGGCGCCGCAAAGGAGAATCAAAGGTAATAGTAAGGGAACAAGCGCGCCTTATCTGTCCCTCTTCCATTTCGCAGGAAGGATGAGGCGTCGGCATCACAAGCTTCTGCAGTTTGGTTCCTATGGAGTACAAACTAATAACGGGTGAGAAAAAGACTCAACGGTTTAAGAACTAGGGAGACATGTATCTATATGCATGGTTATCAGTTGGTGTGCTACTTAGGTGCGGCGCGCGCTGCAGCGGCTTGGTTGTGTTTTCCATTCTTACTTGCTGCTCCTTTACTGGTAACCACTGATTACGACAGCCAAAAAGATTGTCATTCATCAGGCATGCACAGCATGCACAGCATGCACAGCAAGTCTCAGTCGTACATTCCGGACTGGCGGACAACAATCCCCGTCAACACAATCCCCCACATCAGCGAGAGCGGTGTCGCCAACGACAGACTGTCTGACGCATGACCACGAACCTGGAAATATGGACCCTTTCCTTTTACGGATGTTTGATGTTTTTTCCGGAAGACAGACCGAACCAGCTAGCCGAGCTAACTAGTTCAATAGGGACCTTTCCCCCGTGCCGCTGACGTTGCCATGTGGCTGCAGCCAGCGAGAGCCACTCCATGTCGATCCAGAGCAGCATGGGCCTTGGAGGGATGTGTATTTTCGTAATTTAACCAAATTTTGCCTCTTACTAGGCGAGCAATTATTGGACAATCCAAAGCAGGCTGTGATGGCCCACGCTAAAACGCAGCACTAAAAAGCTTGTCCTGCCCCGACATCAGCCCTGTCCCTCTGCAGTATATCGCTCATACCTCGACCATACGTCAGCTTCACCCGCGATACTGCAGCGTTGTTATTCCGCGACAAGGCCCCTCTCCACTTGCCGATCGAAACACTCCGCCCTCTTCCCTCTCATGGCGTTTTTTCTTCTTCTTGGCCCGAGTCACACCCATGCATGCCGTCGGCGAACCGTCCGTCTTTGGTCTCACCCCCAGAACGGCGGCTCACGAGGCTGTGGCGTGAGGCAATTTCCATCGAGTCCAGATGGCTTGCTTTTATTGTTTTCCCCTTCCTTTGTTGAGTGTGATACCCTAGGTGTAACCGTAAAACCGTCATGCCAAACTTGGATTGCCCGTCACCGTCCTGCCTCCGTAGCCCGTCGCGTTGCTGCGCACCCCATGCCGTCAAGTAAAGCTCACAGCCACACACACCTGTCAGACCGGCTCGCCTGCGTCGCTGTTCCTTTCAGCTCATATTATTGACAAATAGCAATTCTGTCCTTGAAGATATACCATTGTGCCTACGGCTTGTCCCATCCAAGTTAGCCCTCGCCCTGATCCTTCCAAGCGCGAAAGGGCATGTCGAGGTCAAGCCCTGATGACCCCGACTTTGATAGCATTATTGTAGAGTATAAAGCTTCCCTGTCTCACACACTGATCTACAGTAGCATTGGATCTCTCTCGCACTCTCCTGGCCTCTCTCTCTCTCGCTCTCCCTCGCACGTCATCAGTGCTCCTCTTCTGCCTGTGTGCCCTTCCGCTCTCGTTTCTTTTCCTAGTCAAACTTGACATTTCATGGCTTTCAATAAGCCCGCAGACGCTGTCGGCGTGGAGCGCATCCGCTGGAATGATGAGGAGCAAGGCCGTCGCCGGTCGCGCTCTCGTCCTCGTCTGAGCCGTGCCAATTCCACCGACTCCATGGCCATTCGCGCCGTTTCGCGAGCACAGGTCGATCCAGCCATCACCCTGCCAATTCACTACCGTACTGTGTAAGTAACCGTCCCTACCTCACTTGCGTCAAGCTTCCCTGACCATTGAATGCTAGCTCGTTTGGAATTGAGGAGTCCAAAGGCAAGGAGCGTGCCGAGGCTGTTCGAGCGGCTGATGCCACCGCCAAAGGTACATACACACACATACACACACACATTGCCACCACATATAATTTTCTAGTCACTGACTCCGAAGAAATAGACCTTGCCGATCTGGAGTGGCACATTGTCACTGCTGATCAAGTCTCGTCACGCCTCACCACATCGTCCCAAAATGGTCTGTCGGCAGAGCAGGTCAAGCGTCGCCAGCTTGAGTACGGTCGCAATGCACCCTCCCCGCCCAAGACGAACCGAACTCTCACCATCTTTGGTTACTTTTTCAAGGGATTTGGCGGCATCCTGCTCGTCGGCAGCATTCTCGTCTTCGTCTCTTGGAAGCCTCTCGGCGAGCCCAACCCCGCGCTTGCCAACCTTGCCCTCGCTATAGTCCTCTTGGCCGTCTTCTTCCTCCAAGCCAGCTTCAACATGTTCCAGGATTGGTCCACCTCTCGCGTCATGGCCTCCATCAAGGACATGCTGCCTGAGCAGTCGCAAGTGCTCCGCGACGGCCAGCTCGCTCATGTGCCTGCCGAGGAGCTCGTACCTGGCGATGTTGTCTTCATCAAAGCAGGCAACAAGCTACCAGCTGACATACGCCTCATCCAGGCATCCTCCGATGTCAAGTTCGATCGCTCCGTCTTGACAGGTGAGTCCCGTCCGGTACCGGGCACGGTCAACTCTACCGACGAGAATTATTTGGAAACCCACAATATCGGGCTTCAAGGAACACACTGCATCACCGGTACCAGCACCGGTATTGTGGTTGCCACTGGTGACAAGACTGTCTTTGGCCGCATCGCCACCTTGACTAATGAGCCCAAGACAAAGATGACGACGCTCGAGAAAGAAGTCTTGTACTTTGTGCTGTTCATCTGCGGTATCATGGTTGCAATGATCACACTGGTCCTCATCCTCTGGGGTGCTTGGCTTCGGAAGGATCACCCTGGTTTCATCTCTGTCAGTGCCCTCATTGTCAGCTGTGTCAGTGTCGCCGTTGCCTTTATTCCTGAAGGTCTTCCAATTGCCATCACTGCTGGCCTCACCATTACTGCCAATCTCATGAAGAAGAACGATGTCCTCTGCAAGTCTCTCAGAACAGTTGAGACGCTCGGTGCCGTGTCTGTTGTTTGCTCCGACAAGACCGGAACCCTAACCCAGGGTAAGATGTCTCTTACGGACTGTGCCATTGGCAGCACCAACCTCAGTGTGGAAGAGCTCCAAGGGAAGCTGGGAATTGATGAACAAGGAAATGAGTCTGGCCTGCGGTCTGCCTTTGGCCAGCTTGGGGCCCTTGCAGCCCTCTGCAATGCCGCCGAGCTTGACGCCTCGCAAGCAGATGTGCCCTTGGCCCAGCGTAATGTTTTTGGTGATGCGACCGACACTGCCATTCTCAAGTTCTCCGAGTCCATCGCTGATGGTAATGTTGGATACTTCAGAGGATGCTGGCAAAAAGTTTTTGATCTTGCCTTCAACAGCAAAAACAAGTTCATGATTCGCACCTTTACATGCAGCCGCAAGGAGGCGGTAGGATATACTATGCATCCATCAGCCGCTGCTGAATTCGGCGACAACGACATCCTCTTGACCATCAAGGGAGCGCCTGACGTGCTGATTGGCCGCTGCTCCGAATTCCTCACCGCTGATGGCGGAGTTGCTTCCATGGATAAAAACGCCCTGGCCACGTTTGAGCACCTGAAGCAGGTGTACTCGTCGCAGGGCAAGCGTTGCCTGCTTCTGGCTCGCAAGGTTGTCCCCGGTAGCTCCATCAAGAATGCAGTCGAGGACGGTGCTTACGAGACAGAAATGTCTGACCTCGCAAAATCCGGTCTTACTCTTGTCGGCCTTGTTGCCATTGTCGATCCTCTCCGTCCTGAGATTCGCGATGTTGTGTCTACTCTTCGCGGCGCTGGCATTCGCATTGCCATGGTGAGTTTTCCCAGTTTTGCGAGACTCCTCAAACTTGCTGACATCATTCTTCAGGTTACCGGCGACTTCAGTCTGACGGCGCTGGCCATTGCTCGCGACGCCGGCATCGTCACTTGCGTGCATGTCGACGGTGCCAGCCATCTTGAGCGCAATCCCGAGCCATCTTCCGACTCGACCGACTGCGAAGAGAAAAGCACCGGCGGTTCACGGGGCGCGCTTGTCATCAGCGGTAGCGAGCTCACGCGCCTCAACGACCACCAGTGGAAGACGCTCACTGAGTATGACGAGATTGTCTTTGCGCGCACAACGCCTGAGCAGAAGCTGCGCATCGTGCGCGAGTTCCAGAAGGAAAATGTAGTTGCCATGACTGGTGACGGTGTAAATGATGCGCCCTCACTCAAAGCCGCAGATGTCGGTATCGCCCTGGGCAGTGGCTCAGACATTGCGATGGAGGCGGCCGACATGGTCCTACTGGACTCGTTCTCCTCCATCGTGGTCGCTGTGCAATACGGCCGTGTTGTGTTTGACAACTTGAAGAAGGTATGTCACTTTGACCCTGAGTAAATTTCACAAATGTCAGTCAACTAAGAAAAGGCATAGGTCATTGCCTACCTACTTCCCGCTGGCTCCTTCTCCGAGTTCTGGCCGGTCATCACCAACGTTGCGTTCGGCCTTCCGCAAATTCTGTCATCTTTCCTCATGATTATTATTTGGTCAGTGTCTCCCCTTTATCTTTCGATTTGCTTTAAACTGACAGAAAAATAGCTGCTTTACTGATTGCGTCGCCGCTACCATCTTGTCTTACGAAAAGCCCGAGGCTGATGTGCTGCACCGCCGACCCCGCAACGTGAAGAAGGATCGCCTGGTGAACTGGCAGCTCATCTTCCAAGCGTACGGCATCATTGGCATGACAGAGACACTGGCGTCGTTTGCCATGTCGTACTGGTACCTGCAGCGCAAGGGGATCGCATTCAAGGACCTGTGGTTTTCCTTTGGCAAGGTGCCGGACTATGTCACCGAGGATTACTACAACGCCAGACTAACAGAGGCGTCGTCCATCTACTTTGTCAACCTGGTGGTGATGCAGTGGTTCAACTTGATGGCGGTCCGATGCCGGCGGCTCAGCATCTTCCAGCACCCGCCCGCGTTCAACAAGGCGACGCAGAACCTGTACCTGTTTCCCGCGATCCTGTTTGCGCTGAGCATGGCGTTCCTATGGTGCTACCCGCCAGCCATCCAGCGCGTTATCGTGACGGCGCCGGTGCCGGTGGAATATTGGTTCTTGCCGTTTGCGTTTGGTATTTACATTGTCTTTATTGACGAGGTGAGGCGCTTCTTTGTGCGCAAGTATCCAACCAGTTGGATTGCGAAGGCGGCATGGTAGCCGACGGGCGTGCTTTGGTGGAGGTTGTCGCAAATGGGTGGTCATTTATGCTGTTTGTACAAAATAAAACACATGATTTTGTAATGTTTGTCCAGTTTAATATTCATGACGTGGAAAATTGGCCTTGGTTTCTTCAAGGCTGTCGGTCGCAAAGTCTGAAAAGTGTATCAGTCGTAACGGGATGGAAGAACGACATGTCGATGGGCGAGCATTATGACGAGAAAGAAAAGGCAGGAATGGAACGGAGAGAGCTGGCTGTGTGGCTGTGGCCTGTGACTTGAAAATGAAAGGATAAAATATGAAATGATGGCAAGCTCGCAGCGGGCACAGTCAAACGGACCACCTTAGCACAGAATGAAGCCAAAGATGCAAGGTGATTGGTCGCGGAAGCTGCAGGGTAGCCAGTACCAGAGATGGCTGTCGGCGGTACCTGGCCGGGCGCCTCGGTAATGCAGAATCCCAGGTAGCGCTCTTCTCATCACGTGTAGCGACTACCTCCCGGCGTGCCGTTGCCCCTTTTGGTGCAGGTCAAAACTAACGCTAGTCCGGTCCTGGACAGCCTCTGGAAAGGTTAAGGTAAAAAGGCTCCACCGAAATCTTTGTGTGGTGAGGGAGCGTCACGTCCACCTCCCTCCCTCGCTCCCTCCGCCCTCCGCCTGGCACAGTCAGTCAGTCCCGTCCCAGGACCCAGGCGGAGGCAACAAGAACCTTTCGCCCATTTTATTGTGCGCCGCCGCCTCTGGCCCAAACCGCCAGCATGAGACCAGACCACGGCACCAAAAAAATGCTACCAAGCAGACAAGCCCCAGAATGAAAAACCCTCGTCGCCCCAAACCCTCAAACCCTTCCCCCCTTCCATCACCATCATCACCATCTGTCCCCCCTTGCCGACACCAACTTGCCGCCCGTCCTCGTCCGTACCGCATCGCCAACCATCGCCAACCGCCCGCCAGCTAAATCCTCTGCTCCACGTAATACGCCCCTGGCTCACCAACCCGGCACCACACCCACGCTGCCTGCCTGCCTACTACTAAGGTAACAGGCCTCACCACCAACGAAGGCGCTGCCAAAGCAAACACCCGGCTGCCAAAATTTCCATCCACCACCACCTGCCACTTGGCTCCCTCATCACCCGTCATCTTCCATCCTTGTCGACCGACACATTCGTCGCATATTCACTTCCTCTCAAGACGCGCGACTTTCCACAAACACTCTCTCATGGCTCCACCGATCAAGACACCCGACGGCCGACGCAAGTCTGGAGGCAAGCCAACATTGCTTGTTACCCTGTCTGTCCCATCCTCCATCCTACGCGAAGCCATCGGCCTCGACGCGATCAAACCCGAGTCTCCCGCTGCTGCCAGCGACCCAAAAGACTCGAGTGACGTCAAGGAGTCGCCGTCCACACCACTGCCTGCTGCCAATGGCGGCGGCGAGACCGCCTCCGACTCCAATGCTGCCACACCCGCCGCCGAAGGCACGCCTGCACCCTCCGTCATGGGACCTCCCACTGATGGCAGGAAGAAGGGCGCCAAGCGAGGAGCCGCGGCTGCCGCCGACGGCCAGCCCAAGATCCGCGGCAAACCAGGTCCCAAGAAGAAGCCTCGTTTGTAAGTTTTTCAACCCTTCCCATCACGCGTACAAGGCCAATCGCTAACCTCGACCAGGGAGGACGGTACAATCGACCACGCCGCCGTTCGCGCCAACGCTGCCGCCCACAAACTCGGTCCCAAGGCGAACCAGGGAGCCATCAACGCCGGCCTACGCGCCCTCGACAGGTCAGGCAAGCCCTGCCGCAAATGGGCCAGGGGCAACTTCACGCTCAAGAGCTTTACAGGCGTCGTCTGGGAGATCAACCGCTGGACCGCGCCGCCCAAGGCCAATGGCGTCGAGGGCGACTCCGAGGCTACCGCTGCCGACTCTGCCGACAGCAGCAACAAGGAGAACAAGGAGAACGGCCAGGAGAACAACAGCACCGCACCAAGCAATGGTGGTGGCGATGTGGAAATGCAGAGCCTCCCCAGCGTCCAGGCTTCGTCGCCCGCGCCAGCACCCGCACCCACTCCCACGCCCGTTGTCGCTGCTTCCTAACCGCGTGGCAACTTGACCGTTACTTGTTGCTCGCAACTCTTCTGTTGCACCATTTCATTTCTGTCAACAAAATCCAACACCCACCGTCATCTTGACCTTTCTTCTGATAATACTATTTTGCAGCTTGACCTTTTTTTTTGGGGGGGTATTGGTGGCGTCTACTGATTGCATGAGAGGGATAGGAGTAAGCGCGGCAACTTTGCTGCAGTGGCGTTTTGGTGCTTTTTTGTCTGTAAGCATAGGAAGTGTACATATAGGTTAGCGAGTCATGGATTTTATATTAGATAGCATTGGATGGGCAAAATCTATTATTACATCTCGATAAGCATTCGCACAATGTTTTGAGGCCAGTCTGCATTAAGCGAAGCTGCCTACCTTCAGCCTGTTGGTAGTGGTACCGCCTGCCAGCACAACCAGCCACGGACATGACGGCAGCCGTACCTGTTTGCATGCTCGCCAGAAAGTTGTGATTGATTGAATGTAGCGACTACTGTTTCAATTTCCAGAACTACTGTTACGACGGGCCCGTCATACCCAGGCTGAGACGTTTCCCTTGGCCAATACGGATACTCCAGGCTTAGTAACGTGACGACTTAGTCTGTGGTGGCTGGGCCTAACCTTTACACCGCTGAACGAAGAGACGAACAGTGCAGCCGTAGCGACAATATGAATTACGCGTCACGAGTTGCAGGGAGAGTGGGTGACACGGCGATGCCTCTTAAATTCTACAGGCTTTAGAACGGCGCCGAGCGGGATTCAAGGTCGCGAGCCTCAAGTCCGAACGGTCCTGGTACGGAGAAGAGGAGCTCGCCGCAGCCGCGACGACGCTGGGGCGCAGTGCCTTGTACGAGCGCCTCGGTTGCAACTTCGTACCTAATATTAAGGGATCTCTCTTTTCGGGCACGAGGAGCCGATGTGTTTGACCCAGGTCCGTCCGCATTTTGCCCAAGGAATTTGTCGGGTAGATGTGCTCATCGAGGTACCTCGCAGATTGGGTGCATCGGCGAAGTCACTAGCCAGGCTGAGCTAAGGCATCCATCTAGCTATGTAGGTCAGTATCTTGGGTCTATTTTTTGGCTCTGTTTTGCCTACCGTGCATGTCTAGTAGTGAGGTTGTTCAGCACAGCTTAGAGGCACAAAACATGAATGAGCTCAGGCATTTCCCCGAGTTGCTTTTGTCTCCCATCGTACCTATCTGCCTTGTCCGATTGTTAAGGCGTGCGAGGTACCTGGGCAGCTGTTAATCTTGAAGGGTACTTCTGCTAGCGTTCCATTGGCCCCCAGAAGTAAGTACCTTATCTGCAAATGACCTGCCAGGGTACAAAACTAGCGCCAGCCTAACCAGGAAGGGGCCGTCGTGCTCGAGGCCACCGGCTCCATCCAACCTCAACTTGTCCCGCTCCTTCTCCGCTACGAGCCATTCCATCATCGACAGCTACTCTTGCTTCTCTTCTATCCTCGCCACGACGACTTCGACACATTTACCGCCGCTCACGCACCTTCACTTCGAGCCTCGGCTGCATCTCTCGCCGTCCTCGCCGCCCATTCACCGTGACTCGAAACCCCACCCGGCCGGGAACACAGGTGGCACGCCTGTCCCACCGTTCTCCCTACCTTCTCCGGCAGCTTGCCTCTCTGCCTGCCTGCCTACCTGTCTACCTACCAGTGAGGTAGGTAGCTGCTGCCACTCCATCCGAATATCGACACACAACACGCTGGCTCCGCGCCCTTCCCGACCACTGCTTCTCCTGTATTGCATCTGACCCTTCCATGTCCGGCCCTGGTCACCATCGCTCACCTGGTGCAGATCCAGGCCTGACCCCGTCAACACTTGCATCCTCGCAAACCCAAGACGCCGCCGTCGCCGCCGCTGCCGACCACACAAGCCAGCGTTACAATTTCTATACTCATCCGTCCCGCATCTCGATCCTCGACGGTACTGGCAACTTGACTGTCGATCCGGCCGCCTTTCTTCCCTGCTCTCCCGGGCAGCTGACTTCAGTCATGGACGATTCGGCCGCTACCAACAGCTCCGTCAACTGGCTCCCCAGCGCCCACTCACAACCATCCTTTTCAAGAGCATTTGACCTTTTCTACAATTGCAATTCAAGTGAACCCTCTGAGGACGGCGACAATTCCTTCTTCGTCCCCTCCTACCTCCGGTCGTCGTCGTACATGCACATACTACAAGAAGCACACCGATCACGCAGACACTCGAGGCGAGAGCAAAGGCGAAATGGTACACTTTCCTCTAGCAACGGCTTCTCCTCTGACTTTCTGCCCGCGGGCTCACATCACGGGCTGTCCCACACTGTCGTTGAGCGTGGCGCCCCGTCTGAGAATAGGGATGGCCTTGCCCCGCTGCCGACGCGATGGAACACTAAGGATATGAGCGGCAGCATCGATGTACATTCTGAAGGACTAGGCGTCAGGTGCATGGAAGATAAGGACCGCGAGCACGAATCTCTGGGTATCCGAGCCGATCATCACATGCCCTTGCAGTGTGGTATTTATTATTTCGAAGTCCAGATCCTGTCTGCCCGCCGCGATGAGTACGTTAACAGCGTTACCCCCTCTTCATACCACCAATTACTGATTCGTCTATTCAGCATCCATATTGGTATCGGCTTCTCCACCACGTCAGCCTCCACGGCTAGACCTGTTGGCTGGGAGCCGGAATCATGGGGCTACCACGCCGACGATGGCCGATGCTTTGCTGGGAACAATGTCGGGCGGCCTTTTGGGCCTAAATTTGGTGCCGGTGATGTCGTAGGCTGTGGGGTAAACTTTCGTGATAGGACAGCCTTTTTCACCAGAAACGGCCTAAAAATAGGTATGTCCCGGCACCGTTGCAGAGCCGAATACCATGGACGCGACTAACAGGATTAGGTACTGCTTTTCACGACGTTACCGCCACCAAGACCAAATTATTTCCTGCTGTTAGCCTGAGGAAGGCCGGTGAGCATGTGCTTGTCAACTTCGGGCAGACACCGTTTGTATATAACATCGACGACATGATGAGGGTATGTTGTACTCGGGCGGCACCGTCAAGCATCGCTGACCATGCAGGAACAACGAGAAAGTACGCAAAAAGACATTCAGTCCGCCGACACCTCGAAAATCGAACCGGGGCTCTGCGAAACGGACCTGATCCAAGCTCTGGTGATGCAGTTCCTGCAACATGACGGCTACATAGAGACGGCGCGCGCATTTGCAGAGGATTTGAAGGTCCAGAACGAAGCATTGAGCTCAGACACGGGATCCCCCTTCAGAAGCATAAACATTCGCGACGACGAAGATGCCAACAACCGGCAACGTAGGTGCTAAATCTTGCACTGTCAAGCCAAGCTAATAAGTATAGGAATTCGGAGAGCAATTCTTGAAGGAGATGTCGATCGGGCCCTGAAGCTTACAAACGCATACTATCCGCTCGTTTTACAAGAACACGAAGGCGTCTACTTCAAGCTGCGCTGCCGCAAGTTTATCGAGATGGTCCGTAAGGCGGCCCAGCTCAACATGGCGGCAGATGCTGGAGAGAACGGCGGCGCTCAAGATATGGATATTGATGCTAACGGCGATGGCGATGGCTACGAGTGGCCCGACGCGCCGGTCGCGCAAAATGAGAGGGAGGTGCAAGACCTGGAACAGGACATGTTGGAGTACGGTCAAGCCCTGCAAGGAGAATACGCGGAAGATTCCCGCAAGGAAGTGGGCAAGGTTTTGGACGAAATTTGGTCCCTAATTGCCTATCGCAACCCTCTCAGGGAGCCCCAAGTCAGTCACTTGTTGGCGCGCAAGGGACGAGTTGTCGTGGCGGAGGAGCTCAACTCTGCTATTCTCTGTAAGATTACTCGCTGTCCATGTAGCATGCATGGCTCGCTAACAAGTTGCAGCTTCTCTAGGTAAATCGTCTCGGGCGGCGCTAGAAAAGCTATATGCGCAGACGAGCGTGCTTCTGGATGACCTGCGGCAAGATGGTGGCGACGGAGCGTTCATATCTGTCGGGGATGTAACAAGTATGATCCATGCAGAGAACGATGTTTAGGCGGCAGGTTTTAATAGTGAAGACGTTCCGGGACCGCCATGAAATGCAGGGCCTGCATGGTCTACAGCTCCGGCAGAAGGCAAAGAAGATGGAAGAAGACGGTGAGGAGTTCGGTGTTTATACGAATTGACAATGCTGGTGAGCTGGCGCAAGCAGGCAGGGTAGGGCATGGCCTTGGGAGGCTACCTACCTAGTGTTTCTGGGCTATCGGTTGGTAGGTACCTAATGAGAGCATCGGCCGGTCGGTACTGTATTCTACTACTCAGCTAGATTAACTGTCTATAAACTACTTACGCTGTTTTGTTACAATACATTTAGTTTGATTGTTCATGGTGCGCTAACAGTATATATGTACAAGGATATGGGGAATAATACGAAGTTGAGCCGAAGTTCAGTCTCACCAACAACGTTGATACAACCTTTGGGCATGCTGCACTAAATTTGAAAAGTTTTCCAATATATCTGCCAGTCGCTTATCGCCCCACGCCAGCTGCCCGCCCAGAAGAAGATGGGTATAGGCAAACACTTCCGCATCCAGCACCCCAGGCGTCTTACTACCCAAGAACCACTCTGCCTCCCCAAGAAGCGCTGACAGGGCTGCAAAGGCTTCTTGGGCGGCGTGGAAGAGTTGGTCTGCATCGAAGCCACCGGTCGTGCGGCGAGTTGATTTCAGTATCTCGGTCATGGCGGCCGTGCGGAGGGTATGCCGTTGTGTAGGGCGGAGGAGGGCGGAAGAGGGGAGGTAGAGTGCGTCGAGCAGGGGGCCGTTGGCCGGGTTTATGTATAAAGAATAAAGCTACCATATCATCAGCGTTGGTGCTCGGAGGGAGAAGGGGATGAAGGGGCATACCCAAGCAGGACGGACTTGGTGGGCGATGAGCGCCTGGTAGGCGTCGATGCGCGGCGAAGGATCGTCAAGACCGGCGCCGGGGGCGTGTTGTTGGGCGAAGCGCGCAATCTTCTCGCCCGTCAGCGGTACCGCTATCGTCGATGCGCTCGAAGGTAGCATGAGAAATGGGAGGGCACCGGACGGCGAGGCGTGGTTCGACGACGGCACCAGGCGGACACAGACGTTTGCGATCCTCAAGATGGTCTAGGCGAGAACAGCTCCTGTTAGCAAAAGCTTGTCCACCTCTCCAACAAAAGCCCAAGGGGAATGCGTACCTGCCACTTCAGGCACGTCGGGTTAAAGCTTGGCAGGCCCAGGTCCGCATCACGCTCGCGCGCAAAGACATACAGTCGGGGCAGGGCCGCCGTCGCGTCATCGCCCGTGGTGTCTGGGGCACGCGCGGGGAGCGCTTCGGCGGGATGTACGGCGAGAGGGAACGAGTTGAAGAGGGAGCGTATCGGAGCCGGGGCGGAGAAGAGTCCCGGTGACGACGAGGCTGCCATTTTTTGCTACCTTGGGAGATGATGAGGTTGGGGAAGAAGCAGGGCGGCAGAATTTCTGATGTTGGCACTCCGAGACGGGAAGCGGTGAGAAGTGGGTCACGGTCCGCGGCAAATGTTCCGTGTGTAAGTCAGGTCAATTGCAACAACAGGAAAGTGTTCTTAATTGGCATATAGAAAAAGATTTGGCGATGAGATCAAATAAAGCAGAATTGGATTTTCTAATTATTCGCGAGAGATGACGAGCTGCGGCTGGTGGTGTTGATACTACGCAGCCTTGTCATAGCCTCGCTGATGGCGGCGGCCATCAATGAATTACAGTGACTCATGACAGCAACTACGAGGCTGCCGATAATGGTGTCAGCCGTGTAAAAGAGTAAAGAAGGAAAAGAAAAAAAGAAAAGTGACCCCCCTGATGAATACATCTATTGTATTTTGTTTTACATATATATTTGCCTACCGCACCTGGCCAACAGCCCACACAGTCTCGTCCATGCTTCCCAGGTGCACGACTGTCTCAAGTCATCATCTTGCTTAACTTTCAAAATTACGTTTCTTTCCCGCAGATAATGAACTGCTCCAATATCAACGGCTACAATGCCTTCTTCGTACCGGCCTATGACGTCGTTGCAACCACCCTCTCGCTCCTCAGGCACGCCGAGTCAGCCCCCAATGCCTCGTCCCTCCTGGCCGCACGCACACACGAAACCATGATGCCGCTGAGCGCTCACTGCGGAATCGTCGCCACCTGCGTATACAAGCTCGTCTCACGCGTGTGCAATGTGCCCTACTAGGGCTGGGGCTACCACGATCCTTTCCCTTCTTATGCTGCTGTCCGTCAGCGTCTACTAGCCGCACAGGCGCTCCTCACCGCCACGGACAAGGACGTGGTCAACGCCCGCATCGCCACGGGGACTCTGATGCCGCCCTCTGACGATGGGGAGACTGAGGTTTCAGTGCACGTGTATGTTTCGTCGTTCAACTTGCCCTACCTCTTTTTTCACCTTGTTACCATCTACAATATTCCTCGCGAGGAGGGTGTGGACCCTGGGCAAAATGGACTTTATGGCTGTTTTTAACAAAACACTGGGCGGCGAGCCGCTTTTGTGGCATAATTCGAGTACCGGTGTGGAAGTAGTTTAAAAAACATTAACTCCCCTCTTTTAGCAGCCTTCCGATTCTATGTACTTGTATAGATTATCCCCAGTGTCCGCCTCTCGCTCTGGGCAGGTACCTACCCTAAAGCCTGCGATGTAAAGAGAACCCCACCAAGAGCAAAATCGGGACATTGAACTGCTTGAGCTGCAGCTTGATTCATTCACCATAAACCCGCCCTTCTACTTGTAGCAACCTCGCTTGCTATACGAAATACGACACGGAAAGAAACGGCAAAATATTCCAGTCATTTCATACGATACACTGAGCACCCGATCACCACACAACCCCCTCGCAAGAACCCCGCATGGAAGCCGAAACTGTCGAGCAGGCACAGGCGCGCCACCGCAAGGAGCTCAAAGACTTGCAAGGCCGCATCACAAATAAAAAGAAGAATGCGACCAAGAAGACGCGAAAATCTATAAATGACGAGTGCGCAGGGCTGGAGCGTGCCCTGCGCGCCAAGCAGAACGCCGAGATTGCCCTGCTCAACGGAGACGCGCCAGCCGACGACGACGATGAAGCGGACGACGCCAAGCAAACGCGACCGGAAGACGATGACGAGGCGCTCGCCAAAGAAACCCACCAAAAGCTGAAAATGCTAGCGGAAGCGGAGCTACCTACGGCACAAAGTACACAGCCGCAGGCCGGCAAGAGGCGCAACAGGCAAAAGGAGCGGTTGGCGCGCCGGGCGGCGGAGCAGGAAGAAGCCATGACCAAGGCGGAGCAGGAGGCGGCCACCATGACGAACCACCGCGCCATCGAGAACGCCTACATGAAGAAGAAGATGGAGGCCGAGGGCCTCGTGGAGCAGGACATTGCGCCCGACGGGCACTGCCTCTTCTCCGCCGTCGCCGACCAGCTGCAGACCCAGCTGTCGATCCCCCTGCGCACCGCCGCCGCCGTCGCTGCCGCGGGCGAGGAGAAGGAGCCCGCGTACAAGACGGTGCGGCGAGAGGCGACGGCGTTCATGGCGGCGCACGGCGACGACTTTGCGCCGTTCGTCGAGGGGGACTTTGGGGCGTACCTGGACCGCATGCGCAGCACGGCGGAGTGGGGAGGCGAGCCCGAGCTGATGGCGCTGGCGCGAGCGTACAAGGTCGGCATACGCGTGGTACAGGACGGCCGGACACAGGAGATTGGGCACGGTGACAGGATCATGTGGCTGGCCTACTATCGGCACGGCTACGGCTTGGGCGAGCATTACAACTCTCTACGGCGGAAGTGAGTCCGTGTCGCCGATCAGGAACCGTGACAGGATGGCCACCAAATTCAAATTGGGCGGCACGCACATCCCTTCTTTCACAAGCGCACTCATAGCACGGGGCAGCAACTTGACATTTTGCATTTGGCTTGCTTCACCCTATCTGGGTAACGTGGACATGAGAGGCGCATCTTGTGCGCACCTGCCATCGCCCTACTCAATTCTGGGTCCAAGTCCCGGTTCCGGACACCTGCGAGGCCGGGTGGATGGGCATGTTGAGAGGTCCCTGGATCTTCGGTCCGTTCTTGATGGAGAAGGATATCGTCTCGGTGCCAATCTTTCCGTCAAAGGTCCTCTGAGTGACCAGCTGTCCCACGGTGTCGTAGGTCAAGACCGCCTCGTTGGAGACAAACTCCTGCACGGCAGGGTTGAAGCTGCCGCTGAAGTGGTACTGGATGTCATCGATGACAAAGGTCGAGGTGAACCTGGTACCACCTGCGACACCCTTGATGAATCCGTTGGCGGTAGGCATCTGCATGACCGAGAAGTTAGACGTGGGCAATGGCCAAGGTTTCTTTGACGAAGAGTTGCTCACGTTGATCGTCTTGCGTACGAGTGCGAGTAGCCTTGAATAGTTTTGGAGTTATGTGTTCTGTTGCTAGTGGTCGAGTGTGATGCTCTGTCCAAGGGATCAAGATGGGAGTCGGACCTGGGTATAAATAGACGACCGCTCGCTACTTATAGACTTGGAATATAGCTTACTATTATGTATTCAAGCCGCGGTATAGCTTTCGGCGACATTGACCTTTTGAGCATGAACAATAATTCCATCAGCAGAACCATATGTGTCAATGTGAGTAGGTGGTGCGCCTTTTCTTTCAACTGGGCACGGCGGCCCATCACGAGATTTGTCTCCTGCATGCCAATGCTGTCCGTGCAAGTACGGTATATTTCCAAACAGATGATTAGATTTGATTAATGTGCCTGAATTTTCTTTTTGGTCCTAGAATCAATCGAGACACTGTAATCACGATTGAGATTAATGAACGCATTCAAGTTCGTCCAGCCTACCACCGTGGCCCCCAATACGGGCAGAAGAGTAGATATCCTGAGCGCACTCTTCTTTATGCCGGGAACTCTCTGGCATGGCTGCTTTACCCAGATGATGGTGCCTCTGTTCTCCTCAGGAGCTGCAGGTCATATTGATGCCTACTAATACACATCCCTTTCGCATCAAAGGAGATGCCCTCTTCCTCTGGGTCGCAACTTGCCAAGACAAAGGGTTGAGACTCCATTCGCTTGCTGAAGGGATCATGGCGACCTGGCTTTACTTGCAGTATAGATGGTGGCGAGCATTCTTTTTAAAAAGTTGCTCTTTCCATCACGGGCAAACAGTTGGATTTGGTCATATGGCTTGCGCTTTCATGCGAGAGCAGATATTTCTCACGCAAGCCACGTTATGTCCACCATCTCGGCGGAATGGAGAAGCATAATACCGTCGTATGCCATTTCCTACCGGAAGACGAGAGCCTATCGGCTACAGTGAACAAGGCGGTCGAGATGATGCTACGCACATTCCAAGCAGTCAGAATTGCTGTGCTGGTGGGCATTGGTAAAGGGCTCCCAAGTGGCCAACACGATATTAGACTTGCCCATGTCGTGGCTAGCTGTATCGGTATTGCACTCCCGGCTTGGTGCGGTACAGTTACGGTATCACAGGCAGGGCGAAGACATTCAGCCTCAATCAGTCCACTATCCCTGCCTCCCCCACCATAGAACAAGCGAATACAGCAGGTAGAAAGTAGTGCTCAGGATTTGTATGCCGGGGTCCGGCCAGCTGTGTGAATGAGGGGCTAAATGCATGTATGTACAGTATTCACGCGCCGTAAACAGTTATGTCTCCATGTTTCTTGGACATCTCTGTTGTTCATTTTTATCTCATCGGATGTACGCGACCCATTGGCGCATCGGCCGGTTACCGACTCCAGACAGATATGAAATCCCGCACCGAGCCGTCTTCGGCCGTACCCGCCTTGTGTGTGCGTTCCGGCTTGACGAGACTGATGCGGTGCAGGGCGCCGTCAGTCGGCTTCACGTCGTGCGTCTCGACGACGGTGCCGTCGTCGTTGTAGCTCGGCTCGTGTCCCGGGTGCGACAGCAGGGCCTCGTACACCTCCGGGTTGAGGCCCCAAGGCGGCCCTTGCTGGGAGAGCGGCTTCCCCGAGGGAAACTCGAGGCACACGAGGCGGCCGTCGTGAGAGATGAGCTCGGACATGCGCTTGGCCCATTGTGGGCGGAGCTTGAGTGGCAGGGCGCAGAGGAACTTGAGAGCGTGTTAGTAGATTCTTATCGGACTCGATGACGGTGAAGCGAGGAAGGAAGATGGCGTACCGTGTAGTCGTATATGAGATCAAACCTCCCAGAGCCGTCCGTGCCTAGCCCCTCGGCCCAGTCTTGCGCGAAGAAGTCGGCGACGATCCACGATTCCTGCCCCAACTGGACGTCACCCTGGGGCTTGACCCCCCCGGGTGTCGCTTCGAGAGCGGCGACGTTCTCCTTTGCGCGGCGGATCCCGTCCGCGCTGCAGTCGAGGCCGACAACATCGTACCCGAAAGTCTTGAGGAGGAGGACGTCGTGGCCGCGGCCGCAACCGGGGACGAGCGCGGTGCGGCGGACGACCTTGCCGGTGTCGTCGCGGAGGGCGTTGCCGCGGCGGTCGACGTCCTGGGCGGGGACGACCAGGTCGGGCCGCTGGGAAAGAAGGTCAGCGAGGGCGAGCGACGGGCCACCGCGGTCCCAGGGGTGGAAGTCGTGGCGGTAGAGGTTGTCCCAGGCGGTCTGCTGCTGCTCGGAGGCCTGGCCGGCGGTTGCGAAGGTGTCGCGCAGGATGTTGATGTTGGCGGTGTCCGGAGTGGCCATGATTGGTGGACTGGTGCAGGTTAGGATAGATGGGGGGGGAACGGTAGGAGAGGACAAGAGGAAGTGAACAGTTGAATGATGATGAGGGCAGTTGATGTTGTGAGTTTTGAGAATTGTTGCGAGGCCGTGGTGGTGGGGGTGGGGTATTGGTGGCGGACCTTTCTCAGCCGGAGTGGACCGGGATGACGTGACGTGGGGTATGAGAGACGGGCAAGGTAACCAGCGACTCTTTTGTACCTGTATTAATCAAGTCGCCGGTCAATGACATGAAGCAAATGAGTCGGTGGTTTGGATAGCCGACGGACTTGCTCATGTAAGCGGGCGGCACGCGGCTGCGGCGTATCCGCCCTGCCGCTCTGCTGACACTGCTTGCAGCGAGGAAGCATGACGCAACGTAACGCACCACATCAAACGGGCCGGTAGAGGGGAACTACTAGGAAAGAAAATAGAAGGAAAAAGAGAGAGAAAATATAAAAAAGTAAAGTATAAAATAAACTTATATATAAGAGTATAGAATATAATAAAAACTAAATAATAAATAAAATAAAAGTAATTAGTATAAATAAAAAAGAAGTTTTTAAT